GCTGGCCTGGAAGAGGGGCAACCGGGACAGAATCCGGCGCCCCAACCAGGACTAGAACCCGGTGTGCCGGCGCCGCAAGGTGGAGGATTAGCCTAGTGAGCTGTGGTGCCAGCCTGAAACCCATAATTTTTTATACTACATATCTTCCATGAACATTTTGAAGACCTCTCATGTAATCACATTTTTGTTCAGTGTAAACCAGTGAGACTTTTTTTTTTTTTTTTTTTTTGTTTTGTGAATCTAGACTTGCTTCTCCCTTTTAAGTAAAGAAATCAGATTAGTAAGATTAGAAATTTGTATTTGTTGCTCTCTGGGGTCTTTGTGTTTTGTTTAACAGTGTGACTACCACCATATGGGTATCTGTTTTGAAGGTAGCAGGGTTTTTGCAGTGAATTCTGATGTAACTGGAAGTCTTAGGGATATGCTGCACTCCTGATAGGTTGGGAACCAATATCTCTGCTGAAGGGGCATTTATCCCTGTGCTTAGTCATCAGGGGAAACACTGGTCCTCAGAAAGAAAATAGAGACTAAGAAAGCAGATATATTGGATCTTTAGGAGAAGGAATTGTGTCTTTTTTTCAGTGCTTCACTGTCTTGGTTTTAGACTTGAAGACAGCAAATGACGAAGTACAGATAAGCTCCTTCCTAGAAAACAGACCTGGTGTGGAATGAGTCATATCTTGGAAACCAGATTTCCTATTGTCATGTTCCCCCCCTCCCCCCTTCTTATCTCCCAACTCAAGCCTTTACTGAACACAGCCATCCTTGTATGAGCAGTTGTCATGAGAAAGGAAAGAACCTTACAGATGTCCTTGTCCTGGGAGGGGTGGTGGTGATGGTAGTGGTGAACTGTGCCATTGAGAAACTCCTGGGGAAGTAAGAGATAGGTAAGAACAGTTTCATTCTTAGGAATGTTAGATGATACTTCAGATGATCTATGAGGATGCTTCATGAAGTTTGTGGAAAATGTGTATTATCAAAAAAAGCAATGTATAGATCTCAAAATATTTTGCATGAAAATGTGTTAATTCCGTTTTCCATAAGCTTTTTAAAGTGACTTTGTATTCATTTACTGGGGCTGCCATAGCAAAATACCACGTTCTGGGTATTGTATCCAAACAAGAGAAATTTATTTTCTCACACTTTTGGAAGCTAGAATTCTGAGATCAAGGTGTTGGTGACGGATTTAGTTTCTCCTGAGGCCTATTTCCTGGGCTTGTAGATGACTCTTCTCTCTGTGTACCGGTCTGTGCCCTAATTTCTGCCTAGAGGAATACCAGTTATGCTGGATTAGGGCCTACCCTAATGACTTTGTGTTAACTTGATTGTTTCTTTAAAGACCCTGCCTCCAAATAGAATCATATTCTGAGGTATTGAGGACTTGGCATTTTTTTTAAAAGATTTATTTATTTGAAAGAGTGACAGAAGGAAAAAGAGACAGACAGACGGACTGACAAAGAAATATAGAACTCTTTCATTTACTGATTTACTCCTCAAATGGCTACAACATCTGGGGTTTTACCAGGCCAAAGCTAGGATCCAGAAACTCCATCCAGGTCTGCCATGGGGTGGCAGAAACTTAGGTGTTTGAACCATTGTCTGCTGCTTCCCAGGCACATTTGGAAGGAGCTAAATTGAAGTGGAGTAGCCAAGACTTGAACTAGCATTCCATGGGGTGACAGCCCACTTTGCAACAACACCCACCCTGAAGGTTAACTTATTTTAATGATAGGCACAAAATGTTGCAGTTTATTCCATCTTTTTGATTGCGGGTATTATAGTTCAGCCCTGGTTATTAAGACAAATAAAGCAAATACCCTTTTTTTCTGCCATTTTTTGGGTTGGAAGCTGGCAATGGCAAATCTGCAATTTAGGTTCCTTCTCATGACCACTCCAAGTATCCCATTTGCTTTCTTCCTTCTTTCCTTCTCCCTCGTTAATTCTTTCCTTCCTTCCTTCCTTCCTTCCTTCCTTCCTTCCTTCCTTCCTTCCTTCCTTCCTTCCTTCCATCTTCCCTCTCCCCACCCCTCCCCTCCTCTCTCCTCCCCTCCCCTTCCCTCTCTTCTCCCCTCCCTTCCCTTCCTCCCCCCCCCCCCTTTCCCCTCTTCTCTCCTTGTCAGAGTTACAGAGAGACAGAGGTAGAGAAAGACAGATCTTCCATCTACTGGTTCACTTCCTAGATGGCTACAACAGCCAGGGCTGGGCCAGTCTGAAGCCAGGAGCTTCATCTAGGCCTTCACATGGGTGGCAGGGGTCCAAACACTTGGACAGTCTTTTGTTGCTTTCCCCAGGCCATTAGCCTGGATTGGAAGTGAAGCTATCGGGACATCTCCTATGGAACCCGCGTCCATAGGGGATCCCAGTGTCCCAGGCTGTGGCTTTACCCATTATACCACAACTCTGGCCTCAAGTATCTCAATGTGCTGATTTCTGAGATACACTGAAATGGTGTACAATGCAACATTCTTAAAGATTTCACCTCTTAACCTGACACCTTTTGCTAAGGCAGGGTACTGTCTATTAAAAGCTAACCCAGTGGCCGACGTTGTGGCATAGCTGGTAAGCCACTGCCTGCAGTGCTGGCATCCCATATGGTTTGAGTCCCGGCTGCTCCACTTCCGATCCAGCTCTCTGCTATGGCCTGGGAAAGCAATGGAAGATGGCCCAACTCCTTGGGTTTCTGCACCCGTGTGGGAGACCTGGAAGAAGCTCCTGGCTCCTGGCCATTGTGGCCAATTGGAGAGTGAACCAGCAGATGGAAGACCTCTCTCTCTCTTTCTCTGCCTCTCCTCTCTCTTTGTAGCTCTGACTTTCAAATAAATAAGTAAATGTTAAAAAAAAAAAAACACTAACCCAGGTCCCATCAGCAATCTCAACTGTTAATATATAAAAATAAAACTGTGCTCCTAAGCGTTGATTCAAACCATTGTACTCAGATCCTGTGTCAGAATATTGGGTCGCTAAGACAGAGATCCTGGCCAATGGCTTTGATGAAGAATGATCCCAGGACAATGTATATAATATCCTTTGCAGCAGAAATCAAGAAGTCAGGCAATCCTGATCTGCCTGACTAGTTTAGCATTATTTACTTACAGAGTATGTTTAAAGCTCATCCTAGATCAGGTATTGCATCCATAATCCCAAGAAATTGTTCAATTTTAGCACAATGAGTTCCTGCTAGAGCAAGTAAGAAATCATCTCTCAAAGCAAAGAGTGATGGTTTATCATCTTTGACAAGTGAGGAAAACATCAGGAGGAGGAAACAGCAACTACTTCCTAAACTCCCCATCGAATCCAATGGCTATCTTCATAGTCTCGGTTGAAAAACTCCATAGTTTTCAATTTACAAATTTGGAGAATACAATTTCAAGGTGTCTGTCAATGTCAAGAAGAATTCTCAGGCCGGTGCCGTGGCTCACTAGGCTAATCCTCTGCCTGCGGCGCTGGCACCCTGGGTTCTAGTCCTGGTTGGGGCGCTGGTTCTGTCCCGGTTGCCCCTCTTCCAGTCCAGCTCTCTGCTGTGACCCGGGAAGGCAGTGGAGGGTGGCCCAAGTGCTTGGAGAGACCTGCATGGGAGACCAGGAGGAAGCACCTGGCTCCTGGCTTCGGATCGGCGCTGGCTGTGGTAGCCACTTGAGGGGTGAACCAACGGAAGGAAGACCTTTCTCTTTGTCTTTCTCTCTCACTGTCTAACTCTGCCTGTCCAAATATATATATATGTATATATATAAAGAAGAGTTCTCAGACTTTTCTTTGCCATGGCCAGTAAACTCCAATCCTTCAGTAGGACTCTCTCCTTAATTGCTTTCTGAGCATGCTGCTGGTAATGCTTGAAGAGTTTAATGCCCGATCCTTAGAGCTGTCCCTCTTGCAGAACCTCTCAGCAAACCAGTACTGAAGCACAGATTGTACTTGTACTTCGTACCTGCACATGCCTTTCTGATCCTGTTCATGGCAGTGGCTGCTAGGGCTGCAGCAGCAGGCAGATCAGAATTTAACATACACATTTTTGGAGGGCCTAGTCCAACCCCTAACAAATGATATGAAAGAAGTACTTATCATGTTTTTAAGATCTGATAATAGCATTGAGTTAGACTCTTCATCTTTTATATGCACATGTTAAAATATTTAGAGATAAAAGAAGACTTAGGGATAGTGGGTAGGACGTGGTTCAAAGAAGATTGACCACTTTTTGGTAATGATTGAAACTGAGAATGAAGGTCTGGCATTGCAGTGCAGCTGGTTAAGCTGCTGCCTGTGACACCTCCACTTCTGATCCAGCTTCCTACTAATGCTCCAGGGAAAGCAGCAAAAGATGGTCCAAGTACATGGACCCCTGCCACCCATATAGGAGACCTGGATAAAGCTCCTGACTTTGGGCTGTTGCAGCCATTTGGAGTGATCTCTTTTCTCTCTCTCTCTCTCTCTCTCTCTCTCTCCCTCTCTCCCTCCCTCCCTCCCTCCCCCTCTCATTCTGCCTTTCTAATAAATAAATAAATAAATAAATAAATAAATCTTTTTTTAAAAGTTGATTACTAGAAAATACCTAAAAAGATCAACCCAGTCATTTTATAGTATAGAGTCTAGAGAAACAAAATAACTTGCCAAGTGACATAAGTGATTTAGTGACACAGCTGGGATTTCTGTCATTCTAGTATGCTTTCCACTGTAGTATAATGCCCATCTTATTTATTTTTAAAAATATAAAAATTATCAGAGAAATGACTACTTTCAGAATGTGAGCTGTGTTTTACTTATCATTTTACTTACTTGTATTGTGAAAAGTCTTTTTATTTTCTTTTTAATAAAGAATACAGTTAATTTATTAATTGTATGTTGATACAAATTTTGTATGTTGACTATATATATATGTCTGTATACACACACATACATACTCTCCAATACTAAGTGATATATCCTGGCTTAAGAGATGAGCACAATGAATTTCAGAGCAAGAGATGTCTTACAGCTAATTCTGTTTTTTCTTTAATGTATTATAGTTGAAGCTTCTTGTCATAATGGGGATGAAACAATTGAAACTATTGAGGCTGCTGAGGCACTCCTAAATATGGATTCTCCTGGCCCTATGCTGGATGAAAAACGAATAAGTAAGTAGTTAACGATTGTTCTTGTTTTGCAGAGTTATTCTTGCCATCTCTCTCTGTTAGATAGTAAATATAAAAAGACCAGAGACCATATTTTAGATTTTAAGGTATAGTACTCGTAAAGGAACATTTGCTAGAGTGTTCAGTTAAAGACTTTTAATTTAAGGGATGAATACTTCAGGAATAAAAAAATATTAGTTATCAAATAGTGGGTTTTGCAGGTTTGCTGTCTAAATAAGATCATGGGTGAAAGTATCAGTGTGTTTAGGTCCTAATTTCTTGTTTAGTTCTCTCTGTAGATACTTATCAATAAATAAACAAAAACACCATTGGAAATTTTATTAATACTTCATGACCTAAAATTCACTGCCACATCATTGATCTGCTTTTAAATCCATGTTCTCCTTTAATTTTAAAGATAGTTACTTATGGTCTTTATTTTTTGCTTTTGCAATTATTTACCTGAGAGTGACAGCAGAATGTTCTGGAAGCAGTGAGTGCTCTAGTTGGTGACATCTGAGACAGTACTCTAGTGGAGGAAGTGTCTTGACTTGGATTGTAAATTACAAGCTTTTAATAGGTAGAGGAGACAGGAAAGGGCATTCAAACTAGAGGGAACATGTTGAGCCCGAGACACAAATGTCTCAAAAAGATGAAATAGTTGAGCAAAGAAATGTTTTTGTTCAGCTGAAGTGGAAGCTTCCTGGTGGATGGGAGATGAGATGGAAAGACAGGCTTGGTTTAGATTATGAAAGCTTTGAAAAACTTGGTTTGCAGTTTTTGGCTTGTTTTTATCCCCGGTAATCTATGGGAAGATGTGTGGATTTTATTGTTAAGATTTTCAGATGTAAGGTTTTTGTATAAAGGAATATTATGAACAGATCAGACACAAGACTCAGAGCAGCAGTACGAAGAACGAGAGGAGATAGACAAGTTAGACTGGAGCTAGAAAGTAAATAAGAAAGATAATGAAATAGTCCTCTCCAGTCTGGACTGATTTAGGTACTTGATTTAGGGCACGCCTTCTTCCCACGTCGAGGACCTGGAGTGAAGGCAATTTCTCTGTCCCTGGAGCCTAGGAACATTTTTTTCGGCTCCTTGAGGTGGGAGAGGCTAGGAGGCCTGCTGTCCGGACAGCTCCGTGCGTGCAGCCTGACCCCTCTCAGGCTCCTGGTCGCTTGCGTTGCACTGCGCCTTATCCCTCAGCCAGCCTGCCAGCCTCCCAACTCCCGAACAACAGATGGTTTTTGGATCAGTTGGTGCAGTTTTGGGCAGTTCCTGGTAGCCAAGGTGGCAAGCTGGGATTGGTGGGCTTCGCCCCCCTTGGGCTCACCTGGCTCTAGGAATACCAGGCTGGGCCCACGGAGCCGCGTCCCACGACACCTTCCCCTCGGGAGGAAGGGCCAGCTGCCAGTTGTCAGCAGCCAGTCCCTAGCACAGGAAGGTACGTAGCTCGGGCTTACCCGTGAATGGAGCTGGAACAGGGCTTCAGTCAGGAAGACGGGCGGCTACCTCCAGGAGTGGGCAAGAGGAAAGTTGGCTGCTAATCTTTATACAGTCCCACTGCCCTGACCGAGTGTCCACGGTCTGAATGTCTTGTGTCTAGCCCTCAAGTGGTAGTGGGTTTTGGTCCAAGGTGAGGCTGCCCTTTGAGTGAGAGAAGGGTACAGCGGGGAGTCCATGTGGGAAGGCCAGGAGTGCCAACTGCTCAGCCCTGGGGAACACCTGTTCTTGGCCCCTCTCCCCCGTGGGAGCCACGGCAAGGCTGGCAGCAGGTTGAGGACGTGGCAGGGACTGGGGGACTGGTGTTCCCACCTCCCTCCGGCCAAAGATGGGGCTCTGCCCGCTGGGTGCTGGCACCACCCCCAGCAGTCACACCCGCTCCCCAGGAGGAGAGGTGGCAGACAAAATGTTAACGAAAGCAAACAAGGAACTGTGTTGTGTTGGGGGGAGGAGGGAGGGCAGATGGGAAAACGGTTTGGATCTTGCATGGTTTTGTTTTGTTTTGGTAGAGTTGTCCGTGACTTTCCTCAAGTGCTTTTTTCCCTTTTCTTTTTCTTTTTTTTTTTTTTTTTTAAAGTAAGTTGCAGGCTTTGGCTTGGAAATCCCTGGGGGGGTGAGGGGCAGAAACCTGAGGCTGCTGCCCCTTTATCTGCCTTCATGGTACTGTCCCTCCCCCACCCCAGCTCCCCCCGGACCCCATGAGCCAGGCCTCAGACCTTCCAGCTACCCGCTTCCCATGAGCCACTACTCTGATGTCAGCCTATAACCAAAGGAGCTGGGGGGGCCGGGCCTGGTGACCAACCCTTCTCAGCCCACTCAGTGAGGGTGCTCCCCACCTGCAGGCAGGAGGCAACACCCTATCTGCTACCATCAGCCCCTTCCAGAGCCCACCTGCCTCACCCAGCCCTGCCCAGCCATACCTTGCTCTGTCCCATCTGGGGGTGCTCTGCTCAGGGAGGGGCCGGCAGGGCTGCACCCAGCTTCCCTGGTAAGCAGAGACTCAAGAAACCTCCGGGGTCCTGTTTTCTGGTCGTGTGATCCCAGGGGAGCGCATGGGCCCCTTGGGTGTCTGAACAGAAGGGAATGGGAGGAAGGGCCGCACCCACGCAGTCTTTGCTGCTGGTGATGCGGGCAGCTGCCTACCCCCACCCCACCCCGCACCGCGGGCTCCTGAGTCGGCAGATTAAGCATTTTATAAATTGTATTTTAAATACATGTTTTAAACTTGTAAAAAAAAAAAAAAGCAAGGAGTTGATTTCAAGATTTTATTTCTACTTTAGTCTTCATAGAAACAGGAACTTATTTCATGAAATTATTTTGGTTTGTAATGCACCATAGATTATAATTAGTTGATCTTATTTCCCCTAGATAATAATATATTTAGTTCATCTGAAGATGACATTGTTGTTGCCCCAGTCACTCATGTATCCGTCACATTAGATGGGATTCCTGAAGTGATGGAAACTCAGCAGGTGCAAGAGACATATGCGGACTCACCAGGAGCCTCATCACCAGAACAACCTAAGAGAAAGAAAGGTGGGTAGTTTATCTGTTTAGGGCATACAGTCAAACCTTGATGTTGTAATCTAATATCATATTTTTTCAAGGATCAGTTTTTTAAGATTTATTTTATTCATTTGAATGGCAAAGTTAGAGAGGGAGAGAGAGATCTTTCATTCCCTGCTTTACTCCCAAAAAAGTTACAACGGCCAGGGCTGGGCCAGACTAAAGGCAGGAGCCAGGAGCTGCTTCTGGGTCTCCCACGGGTATGCAGGGGTTCAAGCACTTGGGCCATCTTCTGCTGCTTTCTCTGCTTATCAGGGAGCTGGATCAGAAGTGGAGCAGCTGGGATTGGGACCAGCACCCATTTGGGATGCAGGCATCACAGGTGGTGGGTTTACCCACTATGCCACAATGCCAACCCCATTAAGGATCAATTCTACACCAGTTAAAATGTATTTAAGAAAAAAATTGAGGGTACAACACATACATTAAGAGGCAGTTTTTCATATTAGAGTCATTCTTTTAAAATGCTTATTTTCAGCTACTTGAAAGGCAGAGCAACAGAGTGAGAAAAAGAGATCTTCCATTCACTGGTTCACTACCCAAGTACCCACAAAGGTCAGGGCTGGGCAGGCCAAAGCCAGGAGTCAATAACTCCATCCAGGTCTTCTATATGGGTAGCAGGGGCCCATGTACTTCAGCTGTCTTCTGCTGCTTCCCAGGATGTATTGGCTGGAAACAAAGTAGCTGTGACCTGAACTGGCGCTCCTGTATGGGATGTTGAAGGCATCGGAAGTGTAGACTTCACCCACTGCACCACAACACCTACAAAGAATGATTTTATCTATTTGAAATATTTGGTATATCTCACAGGAAACAAGTTAAAAAAAAAAAAAAAAAAACTAGAAACCCTTTAATCTAGGCCCAGAAAGAACTTAGGGGTAAGGGCAGATGAGCTCCCTCCCAAAAGGCATAGTTTGAAAGTCACCAGTCTAGGCCGGCGCCGCGGCTCACTAGGCTAATCCTCCGCCTAGCGGCGCCGGCACACCGGGTTCTAGTCCCGGTCGGGGCGCCGGATTCTGTCCCGGTTGCCCCTCTTCCAGGCCAGCCCTCTGCTGTGGCCAGGGAGTGCAGTGGAGGATGGCCCAGGTGCTTGGGCCCTGCACCCCATGGGAGACCAGGAAAAGCACCTGGCTCCTGGCTCCTGCCATCGGATCAGCGCGGTGCGCCGGCCGCAGCGCGCCGGCCGCAGCGGCCATTGGAGGGTGAACCAACGGCAAAGGAAGACCTTTCTCTCTGTCTCTCTCTCTCACTGTCCACTCTGCCTGTCAAAAAAAAAAAAAAAAAGTCACCAGTCTGTGCCAGTGATTCTAATGGAAGATTTCAATGAATTAAAAGTTAACAGGTAGGAAACTGAAGAGGAAAATATTGCCGTGTGTTGCCTGGGAATTTTTAACTTTCCACAAATTTTCATTGTATTGATGATTCTGTTCCTGCTTGTTTGATATTTTGAGTTTAGTCCTTGTTCATTACAGCACCAACCACCAGTAACCTAAGTTTACATGAAAGTAAGAGAAATTCCAAGAGTCAAAAATGAAAAAGAAAGTGAAAATAGTGTGAGCCGACCTTGCAGCAGCTCTGAAGGGTTGAGAAGGATTTGCTAACAAATTGTTGCCCATGAAGAGGCAAAAGTGGAGGTCTTAGACTTATTTAAGATGGTTTATTGGGTAGAGATCACAGCATCTAACTGGAACTCTTGAAGTACTATAGTTTCAAGGGTGAAAAATTCTACCAGTTGACACAGACAGATGTACTAGAAGTTTGTATTTCTCAGCAAGGGTTCTGAGTAGAGAAACATTCTTCCTTTGAGAATTCAGTAACCCTAGACTTCAACATTTTAGGAATACCTAGCCAAGAAATTAGCATAAGAATAGTCCAAGGGTAATAATGACTTTGGTGCAACAGGTACAAGCTTTTGGTTTTTTTTTGGACAGGCAGAGTGGACAGTGAGAGAAAGAGAGAGAGACAGAGAGAAAGGTCGAGAAAGGTCTTCCTTTTCTGTTGGTTCAACCCCAATGGCCGCTGTGACTGGCGCGCTGTGGCCGGCGCACCACGCTGATCCGAAAGCAGGAGCCAGGTGCTTCTCCTGGTCTCCCATGTGGGTGCAGGGCCCAAGCACTTGGGCCATCCTCCACTGCCTTCCCCGGGCCAGAGAGCTGGACTGGAAGAGGGGCAACCGGGACAGAATCCGGTGCCCTGAACAGGACTAGAACCCTGGGTGCTGGCAGCACAAGCAAAGGATTAGCCTGTTGAGCCGCGGCACTGGCCATGGTACAAGCTCTTGTAAAACTACCCTGGTGATTTATATATTCACCTAGGCTGCATGGAGTTTCCTCAGATAAAGTGCTATTGAAGGTTTCACAGAATAGATGAAGATACTTCCTGACTGAGAAGCAGCAGACATAGAAAACCCTAGGATTAGCTCTCTAAGAATTGAATAGAATTATGTGTTAGAAACTGAATGTAATTACAGTTTTTAAAGCAAAAGAATAAAAACATGGTCAAAGAGTAAGATTATTAAAAAGACTGGGGGAACTTCCTTTCTTGGTAAGGATGTAATAACAGAACATGGATTTATCTTCTTACCTGAAACTACTAAGAACTCAGACAAAATATATGAAACAATGATATTAAAGAAATTAGACATGAGTCAACAGAGGCCAGCAATCCCTAAGAGACCAGAAACAAATGAGTTGAGCCCTACAGTTGCCTCATTTTACTCCACCAAGAAAACAATTTTGGGGAAAAATTTTGTCAGTTTCATAAAAATTTTAATGTATAAATAGCATATGACCCAGCCATTCTGCTGTTAAATATTTACCCAAAAGAAATGAAACCATATGTTCATGGAAAAAACATGTACACAAATAATCTTAGCAACATTATTTGCAATTACCTCAAACTGGAAATAATCTAAATGCCCATCAGCTGCTGATTGAGTAAATGTGTGGTATATTGGTAGAATAAAATACTACTCAGTAGCAATAAAATGGAACATACTATATAAAAGACTAACATCATTTTTAATTGTGACATTGTTATGATAAAGAACGGCATCTCATATGGTCAGTGTTTCGTGTCCCAACTACTCTACTTCCCATCCAGCTCTCTGCTAATGGCCTAGGAAAGCAGTGGAAGATGGTCCCAGTGCTTGGGCCCCTGCACTGACATGGGAGACCTGGAAGAAGCTCCTGGCTCCTGCCTTCAGATCAGCTGGGAGTGAACCAGCTAATGGAAGACCTCTCTGTCTCTCCCTCTCTCTGTAACTCTGCCTCTCAAATAAATAATCTGAGAGAGAGAGAGAGAGAGAAAGAAGAGAAGAGAACTTATAGAAATGAAAAATGAAATGGAAAAAATAATACATGGGTTGAACAGCAGATTAGTCACTGTTTAAGAACTAATGAAGTCGGGGCCGGTGTTATGGCAGGTAAAGCTGCTGCCTGCAGAGCAGGCATCCTATATAAGCGCTTTGATCGGCTCAGCTCCAGCTTGGCTCAGCTTCAGCCATTGCAGGCATCTGGGTAGTGAACCAGTGGATAGAGGATCTCTCTCTCTCTCTCTGCCTCTGCCTCTGCCTCTTTGTAACTCTACCTTTCAAATAAATAAATAAATCTTTTTTTTTAAAAAATTAATGACCTCTCATATAGGTCAGATGTGGCGTATAAAATATATTGAAAAATATGAAAGAGAGACATGGGGAAATTGAATGAAAAGGTCTATATATTTAATCAGAGTTCCAGGAGGAAGGAATATGCTCATAAAAAGTGAAGGGACAATATTTAGACAGATATTGACATTTTTTTGGAATAATGTTAAGCCTCAGCATTTTGGATTCTGAATACTGTAACTACAATAAATCCAAGCCTAGAAAGCAGAAGATGGCCCACGTCTTTGGGTTCTTGCACCCAGGTAGGAGAATCAGAGGAAGCTCCTGGCTTCTGGCTTCAGATCAGCTCAGCTCCGGTCATTGTGACCATTTGGGGAATAACCAGCAGATGGAAGACCTCTCTCTCTGCCTCTGCCTCTCTGTAGCTTTGCCTTTCAAATAAATAAATAAATCTTTAAAAAATAAATAAATCCAGGACTAAATACATTTATAGTAACAAACAAACAAAAGGGCATAATACCAAAAGTCTTTTTCTAAGTTTCCTCAAAAAGAAGAAAGAGACAAACCAAGCTACATAGCTTGAAGAGGATTTTATTTAGATTGGCAGCTTAGAAGTTTCCAATGGATGCTGGAAGGATTGGCTATCTTCAAATTGCTGAGAAGAAATACTGTCAACCGAAACTCCTATACCTAATCAAGTTATAAATCTCATGAAGCCACATTGCCACCTTGAGTACTAAGGAAAATGATGGGGAGAATGGATATTGAATGGCCTACTAGTAGTGTCTGTCCTGAAACCCATAGAGGAAAGCAGTGGCAATCAAGAATATACTGCCTATCATAAAAAGCAAGTAAATAGCCTAAAATAAGAGATTAGGAAGTTACCAAAATCTTGGCTTCTTGGCTTCTTCTTTTTTTTTTTTTTTTGACAGGCAGAGTGGACAGTGAGAGAGAGAGAGAGACAGAGAGAAAGGTCTTCCTTTTGCCGTTGGTTCACCCTCCAATGGCCGTGGCCGGTGCATCGCGCTGATCCGAAGCCAGGAGCCGGGTACTTCTCCTGGTCTCCCATGGGGTGCAGGGCCCAAGCACTTGGGCCATCCTCCACTGCACTCCCGGGCCACAACAGAGAGCTGGCCTGGAAGAGGGGCAACCGGGACAGAATCTGGCGCCCTGACCGGGGTTCCCGGTGTCCCAGTGCCGCAGTTGGAGGATTAGCCTATTGAGCCATGGCGCCGGCCCAAAACCTTGGCTTCTAACACTTATGAAATGCATTAAGCTATTAGAATCTACATCATGAATGTATTCTCTGCTGATGTCTACAGTGATGAAAGGTGAGATACCTGGCTGATTAAGATACTTTGAGCAGTCTTTTTAAAAATGTTTTTATTTATATATTTTCATTTGAAAGTCAGAATGACAGAGAGAGAAAGAAAGAGAAGAGATCAAATCTTCCATCTGCTAGTTTACTTCTCAAATACCCACAACAGCCAGGGCAAGGGTAGACTAAAGCACAGGAGCCAGGAACTCCATCCCAGTCTCCCATATGGGTGGCAGGGACCCACGTACTTGAACCATCACATGCTGAGTCCCAAGTGCATTGGCAGAAAAATGGATCAGAAGTGGAGGCAGGACTCGATCCCAGGCACTTTGGTATAGGATGTGGGTATCCCAAGTAGTGACCTAACTCACTGCACCTCAATACCAGCTCCCTCTATTTTCTAAAGATTTACTAACTTATTTGAAAGGCAGAGTGAGGAGAAAAGAGATATTTTATCTGCTGGTTCATTCCCCAAGTGACTGGTAACCTGGGTTGGGCTAGGCTGAAACCAGGAGCCCAAAATTCCACTTAGGTCTACCATATAGGCATCAAGGACCCAAGCACTTGGGCCATCATCCATCACCTTTTTAGGCACATTAGCAGGAAGCTGGATCAGAAGTGGGTTAGGTGGGACTCAAATTGGCACTCTGATATGGGTTGTAGGCATACCAAGAGGCAGCTTAATCCACTATGCCATAACACCCTTCCTCCCATTTAAAAAAAAAATGTTTGGCAAGCTTAGGATACATCTGAGGAATGTCTTTTGACCTTTTTTTCTTTTCTTCTTACCCTCATTTACTCAAATGACTTCAAATATGTTTTCCTGTTCTGTTTTAGAGAATGGATTTTAACCAAGCTTGTGATTTTCAGCTCTAGATGTCTGTGTTTTAACCCAGAATTTACACTTCTGGTCCAGTCCATAAAATCAGCTTCAAGAATGTTGGGATAGGAAGCAGTAAATTAGAGAATGAAGTTCAGATTGCACTGTCATCTCAACTAAACACAGGCAACAGTACTACAAAGCCATGGTTCCAGATAACTGGCAAAAGATTACAAAACAAGGCTTCAAAAATAGTTGATTGACTCAGACTAAGACTATTGGGTAGGCTTATTTAGTGATGGATAACCATTATGCTTGCATTCTGTATTAGTCAGTTTTATGTTTTTACAATAAAACACCTGAGACAACTGAATTTATAGAGAAAAGGTTTATGTAGCTCACAGGTTCAGAAGCTCAGAGTCCAGCATCTCGTGGTGGTGATGGAGGCATTCATTTGGCTTCTGATGAATGCAGTGAATGGCGATATAGTGGGGGAGAGCACTTGTTAGAGCCAGTGATTACATCTTGACCAGGGGTGGGGAGCTGGAAAGAGAGAAAGACACCAAGGCCCCACAGCCTCGTTGAAGGCATACTCCAGTAGCCTAAGGACTTCTCACTAGGCCTCATCTCCTAAAAGTTCCACCACTTCCCCCAGCACCACTTTGGGGACCAAGCCTTTAATACATAGGTCTTTAGGGAACCTTTAGCATCCAAACCATAACATTGGGAATTGAAAAAGATATAGAAAAATGAGATGTTTAAAAATACACAATAAAGGTCCAGCGCCATGGCATAGTGGGCTAAGCCTCCACCTGCGGCACCAGAATCCCATATGGGGGTTAGCTCAAGTCCTGGCTGTTCCTCTTCTGATCCAGCTCTCTGCTATGGCCCAGGAAAGAAGTACAAGATGGCCCAAGCGCTTGGGCCCCCCCCCCACACACGTGGGAGACTGGGAAGAAGCTCCTAGCTCCTGGCTTTGGATTGGCTCAGCTCTAGAGGCCATTGGGGCCATCTAGGGAGTGAACCAGTGGATGGCAGATCTTTCTCTCTGTCTCTCCTTCTCTCTCTAAGTCTACCTCTCAAATAAATAAAATCTTTAAAAAAATACCCAAGAACGTAAAAGTTACGTAGCTTACCAAGATTATATCTCACATATTTTCTATACCTGTAGAACTTAGGGGAGTTTCTGATATTTAAGAACTAACTGTATGCAGAAGTGTATTTAATCAAAAGGCTAAAAATCCATTTCTTGTACTATAACAAGCTTATTTGAGAAGTCTTGAAAAACGTTCACGGAAAGTTCCTGTTAGGAAAATACTGCATGGATTTCAGAATTTTTTGCACCAAAGGAAACTTGAAATAATTTGTTATAATGTGTCTGAACAATATCTACTTTGAGGTACTAAGAAAGGTAAGACATCTGTTTGAAGAGACCGCTGTTAATGAGCAATGTGTATTCTGCTAGTATTGAAGCAGGAACAAACATCAAATTTATGGTAAGCGTGGAAGGGAGAATGGTGAAATCATCCATCTTTATGAGGCCTTTATAAGGAGAAAATCTCAAAGAAATTTATAAATTGGTAATTCATTAAAAAGGATGAAGAAAATATCAAAAGAAATTATAAATTGATAACTCATTATTAAAAAAGTATGAGGGGTTGATGCTGTGGCACAGTGGGTAAAGCTGCCGCCTTCAGTGCCAGCATCCCATATGGGCGCTGTTTCGAATCCCAGCTGCTCCACTTCCAGTCCATCTCTCTGCTATGGCCTTGGAAAGCAGTAGAAGATGGTCCAAGTCCTTGGGTCCCTGTACCTGCATGGGAGACCCGGAGGAAGCTCCTGGCTCCTGGCTTCGGATCGGCACAGCTCCAACCATTGCGGCCGCTTGGGGAGTGAACCAGCAGATAGAAGACTCTCTCTCTCTAACTGTGCCTTTCAAATAAATAATTTGTTTTAAAAAACAAGGATGATATGAGGTTGAAGTTGTGAAGCTCAAAACTGCACACCATCCATGTCAATTTGTGAGGGAAAAATTAACCTTGTTCATACCCTAATTGAAGAGGACTGGTGAATAACAGCAGAAATGATAGCCACCGTGATGGGATTCTCAATTGGCCTGGCTTATACACCTCTGACAGATTAGAACAGACTTTCTGCTGCATGGTACCAAAATTTGTGCCCAGAGGAGCCACAGATAAGAACAGAGCTTTCAATAGGAATTTTCATTGCGTGGCGTCAAGATACTGACATATTTCTTCAAAGAACTGTAACAGATGAAACATGGCTTTCCACCGTGAACTGGAACACAAAGCGCAATCAGAGCAGTCGCTACCATGGTGGAGGTTGCCCAGTCAAAGAAAGGCAGCTGGCCAAGAGCAAATGTCATGGCAACAGTTTTATGGGATGCTCTGAGCAAAATTCTGCTTACAGACTTTGTGGGGGAGTCAGACATTACCATCTGCTTATTCTGAGAGTTGGTTTTTTAGAGAAAGCTGAAGCTTTAGCAGAAAAGTATCTGGGAAAGCTTTCCCCTGAGGTTTTCTCACCGCCAGGACAGTGTTCATGGCCATTGCTCTGAATAAACAGGGGACATAATTTTTCAATCGTTTCAATGGAGAACAACATCTGAGACAGCTACATTCCTGATCTGGCTTCTTCTGACTTTTTGTTTCCTAATTGTAAATCTTCAGTTATGGGGCTGGTGTTGGGACATAACACTGGCATCCAGTATGGGTGGCAGTTCAAGTCCTGGCTGTTCTACTTCAGATCTGGCTCCCTGCTAATCTGCCTGGGAAAGCAGAGGAAGATGGCCCAAGTGCTTGGATCCCTGCCACCCACATGTGAGACCTAGAGGCAGCTCCTGGCTCCTGGCCACGGCCTGGTCCAGCCCTGGCCATTGTGGCCATTTGAGGAGTGAACCAAGGGATGGAAAATCTATCTATCCCTCTCTAATTCTGTAATTCACTCTGTAATCTACTATCCTTTCAAATAATAAATACATCTTTTTGGAAAATTAGAAATCTTCAGTTAATAATGTGAAAAAGACTTCATTGATACAAATTAAGTTCCCAGCACTTTCTTTCTGGTACAATTGCTTATAAAGTGTTTTCAGTTTGCTGGAGCTTGTGTTGAAAAATAAAGTTTGTATTTTTTATTTTTATTTTTAAATTCCATTTTCCATTCATTTTTTTGAAGTCTTCTCATATAACTAGTAGGCAGACTTACGTCCTCATTTTATAAATAGCAGGAGTGTTCTCCAGAATGTTAAGAAAGCACTGTCAGTATGGTTACCTCAGAAATAAGTTAAAGGACCAGCATTGTGGCATAGTGTATTAAGATGCTACCTGTGGCCGGCACCGCGGCTCACTAGGCTAATCCTCCACCTGTGGTGCCGGCACACCAGGTTCTAGTCCAGGTCAGGGTGCCAGATTCTGTCCTGGTTGCCCCTCTTCCAGGCCAGCTCTCTGCTATGGCCCGGGAGTGCAGTGGAGGATGGCCCAAGTACTTGGGCCATGTACCCGCATGGGAGACCAGGAGAGACACCTGGCTCCTGGCTTCAGATCAGTGCGATGCACTGGCCGCAGCGCGCCAGCCTCGGCGGCCATTGGAGGGTGAACCAATGGCAAAGGAAGACCTTTCTCTCTGTAAGACCTTTCTCTCTCTCTCTCTCACTGTCCAAAAAAAAAAAAAAAAAAAAAGCTACCTGCAACACTGGCAATCCCATATGACCATTGGTTCAAGTCCTGGCTGCTGCACTTCCGATCCAGCTCCCCGCTAATGGCCTAGGAAAAGCAGTGGAAGATGGCCCAAGTGCTTGGGCCTGTACACCTATGTGGGAGATCCAGAAGAGTCTCCTGGCTCCTGGTTTCAGCCTGGTCTGGCCCCAGCTTTTGTAGCCATCTGGGCTGTTGTAGCCATCTGGAGAGTGAACCAGCAGTTGGGAGATCTTTCTTCTGTCTCTCCCTCTCACTGTGTGACTCTTTTAAACAAATAAATGCAACTTTAAAAAAAAGTATAGTATTTTAAAGTTAACTTCATTTTCATAGGTGAGCTAAAATATTTCTTATATAAGAGGGTTTGTGAGCTGACCTACGTGGTGTTAGTTTTTTATTGGAATTATTTTTCTGTCAGCAAACAGCATTATGAGACCTGTATATAAATCATTTGACAGTTGAATTTTTGGATAAGTTATAAAATAGTTAAATGGTCCAATCTCTTTCACTTTAGAGGCCAAATACTTATGCAGAGCTGTTCTGATTTCAGGGAGGAAAACTAAACCACAACGACCAGATTCCCCAACCACTACACCAAATATATCTGTGAAGAAGAAAAACAAAGATGGGAAGGGTAAGTACGACCATAATCCCCAACACTTTGCAAGTCAAATGGTGTTCATATTGCTGTATAGTATTTTCATATTGTTAAGTGGAAACCACCTGCTTTCTTGGTATAGTACATTAAAATGGAACTTACTGCTGCCACCTGCTTCTAAGATATGATTGTCAGTGCCTGCTAATAAAGTAAGTCAAGAAATCTATTTGAGTGATTTTCATTTACCCTTCAAAATAATTCATTTTTGATTTATTAATGGGGCTCTTGGACAAATTCAGCCAGATTAGATTTTCAGTTCATAGATTTTTTTTTTTCCTTTTTTGAAAGGCAGAAAGACAGAGTGCTCCCATCTGCTGTTTATTCCCCTAATGCCCCCAACAGCAGGGACTGGGCCAGGGCTGAAGCTAGGAGGTCGGAATACAGTCCACATGTCCCATGTGAGTGGCAGGAACCCAGTTGTTTGAACTGATCTCCTGCCTCTCAGGGTACACATTACCAGAAAACTGGAGGGTGGGCACTGAACCCAGGCTCTCCGATATGCAGTGCAAGTATCTTAGCTGCTAGGCCAAATGCCTGCCTTTCCCTGAGACTTTATTATGTTATCTTGAAGTTCTAGGATTTTTATAACTGTTGCTCAAATACAAATAAAACTGTTCTGGCTGATATGCTGGCTCTACTATAAGGAAGAGAACTATTGACAGGTTCTGTAAATCTCTTTCATGTTTCCTCTATGTGATAGCTCTTAAAGATGCAGAAAAAATTACCTCAGAGTGCTTTCTTCCTGAATTATCACAAACTTAAATGATAAGATAGCTCTGTCTGGACATGTTATGTGGTAATAAAAAAAAAAAGATGATTGTTAAGATCTTAGACTCCAAAAATGATAACCATTATATCACCAGAATTAACTGAGTTATGTAATATTTTTGTATAAATATAGATGGATTTATTATAAGATTGTCAATTCTGTTTTATTGTGCTCTTTTAAATGAGAATTTGGTCATTTCAATAGAAATTATTTTTATTTTAGGAAACACAATTTATCTTTGGGAGTTTTTACTGGCCCTGCTCCAGGACAAAGCTACCTGTCCTAAATACATTAAATGGACCCAAAGAGAAAAAGGCATTTTTAAATTGGTAGATTCTAAGGCAGTATCCAGGTTGTGGGGGAAGCACAAAAACAAACCTGATATGAATTATGAGACCATGGGAAGAGCACTCAGGTATGTGAAGTTTTTCTAGTTTGTCATGTTAGGAATGTCATTTCATAAATACTGAAAAAAAATGGATAACTTTTTAAATAGTAAAAAATTAAGCAAATGGTGAATTTATTTATTGAACTGCCAAAATTAAAATATTATTGAAATTAGTATGCATTTAAATTGAAATGTTATTTTTTTAAAGACGTGGAGTTATTTTTTATTGTTATGGTTGATTTATTTATTTGAAAAGCAGACTTACAGAGAGAGGGAGAGACAGGGAGAGATATCGTCCATTGGCTGGTTCACTCCCCAAATGGCTGCAATGGCCAAGACTGGGCCAGGCCGAAGCTTAGAACCTGGAACTCCATCCTGGTCTCCCACATAGGCGGCAAGGGGCCATCCACTCTAGCCATCTTTTACTGCTTTACCAGGCACATTAGTAGGGAGCTTGATCAGGAGTGGAGCAACTGGGATTCAAATTGGCACCCAAATAGGATGCCAGTGTCACAGGTGTCAGCTTTATCCACTGTGCCACAAAGCCTGTCCTTGAAATCTTACTCTTTTTTTTTTTTAAGAGTTATTTTTATTTGAAAAGCAGAGTTACAGAGAGAAAGGGGGAGAGACACAAAGAGAGATCTTCCTTCTGCTGGTTTGCTCCACAGATGGCTGAAACAGCCAGGGCTAGGCCAGACTGAAGCCAGGAGGCAGGAGCCAGGAGCTTCTTGCAGATCTCCCACATGGGTGCAGGGGCCCAAGCACTTGGGCCATCTTCCACTACTTTCCCCAGGTCATTAGCAGAGAGCTGTATTGGAAGCCATATGAGATGTCAGCGTTGTGTATGTTGCGGCTTTATATATCGTGTCTCAGTGCCTGCCTCAAAGGCTCATGTGTTTTGACCCATTAAATTCAGCATGAAGTACAAATGGTGGTAATGCAAGAACTTAAAAGGAGGATATATATTTAAGTGAATCTGAGATATGATATTTATTAATAGTGGAATAAGTTAAAGCTTTAAGAGTAATGATAGTTATAAAGTGTTTGTAATTCGGCAGTCTTAAACTAGTTCTAGTTTTTTAACTTTTTAGATTCTTGTTTCATTAAAATCAGTGATTAAATTTGGATCACTTCATTATTTACTCCTATACAAAAAACTGAATCAAATTTAACAGATAGGGATGTTACAGGAAGCTATGGAGGTGATACAATTTCTTGAAGTTTGTAGGAGGTTTTATTTTTATTTTTTTAATCTTAGCAAGTTAGTAGAAGAGTAGAGGAAGGAAGAAAAGTGAAGGGCTAGAATAATCCATATACTACAGTTTCCTAATTAAAATTGCTTTTAGATTTAGTTGGCAATTTAGATTTAGTTGTAAGGACTTTATTCTGTACATAAATGTATGGATATCTTACATAAAATAACTTCCTCATTTACAGGTCTTACTTGACTCCAACTTTATAAAGTTTTGTTATGATTAGCAAAATTTGATATTGTTATTATTTGTTTGATTAAAAATATTTATGATATTATCTGCTTTGAATAGGTACTATTACCAAAGGGGTATTCTGGCAAAAGTGGAAGGCCAGCGCTTGGTGTATCAGTTTAAAGAAATGCCGAAAGATCTTATCTATATAGATGATGAGGATCCAAGTTCCAGCATAGAGGCTTCAGATCCTTCACTGTCTTCAACAACCACTTCAAGTCGGAATCAAGCAAGCCGATCAAGAGTATCTTCAAGTCCAGGGGTAAAAGGAGGAGCCACTACAGTTCTAAAACCTGGGAATTCTAAAGCTACAAAACCCAAAGATTCCACGGAAGTTGCACAGCCGTCAGAAGTTTTGAGGACAGTGCAACCCTCACAGTCTCCATATCCCACCCAGCTCTTCCGGACTGTTCACGTAGTACAGCCAGTACAAGCTGTCTCAGAAGGAGAAGGCACCATAACCAGTAGCATGCAGGATGAAACATTAAATTCTTCTGTTCAGAGTATTAGGTGAGAAGACAAAAGCTACAAATGCGTGTCACTGTATAATGATGTTTCTAATCAAAGCAGTAAGTGGGTGAAACAGGCAGGCATTGTGATGTAGTGTGTTAAGCTACCACTTGGGACACCTGTGTCCATACTGGAGTGCCTAGTTTTGAGTCCTGGCAACTCTTGGGCTTCCCTCCAATTAGCTTCCTGCTAATGCACCTGCGAGGCAGTGAATGCTAGCCCAAGCCCTTGGGGTCCTGTTATTCCTACGGATGATCCAATGGAGTTCATGTCTGCTGGCTTCAGCTTGGCCTATCTCTGGCTGTTGCAGGCATTTGAGGAGTGAACCAACAGATGAAAACTTTGTCACTCTGCCCTTTACCAAACAAAAATTCTGAAAAATTTCTGATGAATTATAAATTACCAAAATCATAGCAGTTGATTACAAGCAGCTTAGGAGATTTTTTAAAAGTAGCTAACTGGGGCTGGCGCTGTGGTGTAGCAGGTAAAGCAGCTGCCTGCAGTGCTGGCATCCCATATGGGCACCGGTTCAAGTCCTGGCTGCTCCACTTCCGGTCCAGCTCTCTGCTATGGCCTGGGAGGGCAGTACAGGATGGCCCAAGTCCTTGGGCCCCTGCACCCACGTGGGAGACCCGGAGGAAGCTCCTGGCTTCGGATCGGCACAGCTCCGGCTGTTGTGGCCATCTGGGCAGTGAAAACAGTGGATGGAAGACCTCTCTCTCTCTTTGCCTCTCCTTCTCTGTGTAGCTCTCACTTTCAAATAAATAAATAAATCTTTAAAAAAAAAATAGCTAACCATAATGTAACCTATGTTATATAAAATAACCAGGCACAACTGATGAGTTAATCATTTAGAAAAATAATTTAAAATTTCTGTAGATGGAAAAGGCTTCACGTTTTATTTCTTTTTCACATTTTTTATCCCTGAATTTTTTTATTAAAATTATTTTCGAGAATTTATTATCAGTATATTTACAACATAGCTATTTAACTAAGTCTACATATTTTTTGATATGGCAGTCTATCACAAGGAAAGGACATCTTTTTTTAACTTGAACAAAGCCATTGAAGTCTTAGTGGTAGTAATGAGCAATATGGAAAATTTTCAAATACATTATTGCTTGTACCACACCTCAGAGAAGGAAAGAGACAGATGAGAGTTGTGTGTATGAAAGAGTTGTATCCACCCATAATTTATGGTTATAATAGTAAACACCTGTTTTTAGCTCAAGTTCTTCAGGACTTACATTTTAACAGGCAGACACATAAGCTCTGCATTCAGATGGCTTCTTATTTTTTTTTACCAACCTTTTTTTTTCCTATGTAAAGTGGAGATAGTATATGTATAGGATGGCAAGGCTGTACATGTTTATAGATGCAGTCTGTGCTAACTGTATGCCAAGTACTGTTTTGTCTGTATGTACATGAATGTAAACTTTTGGCATGGGAATCCCTTAGAGCTTTTTAATTTAAAAATGATGTTTTTGAGGCTGTGAAAATGGTGATTACTCTGATTTGATCATTATACAGTAGGTATGCATATCGAATTAATCATACTGTGCTCCACAAATATATACAAATCCTATGTACCACTAGACATGTTTTTCTTTTTCTTTTCTTTTTTTTTTTTTTTTTTATTCTTCTGCTCGACAGGCAGAGTGGACAGTGAGAGAGAGACAGAGAGAAAGGTCTTCCTTTGCCGTTGGTTCACCCTCCAATGGCCACCGCGGCCGGCGCACCACGCTGATCCAAAGCCAGGAGCCAGGTGCTTCTCCTGGTCTCCCATGCAGGTGCAGGGCCCAAGGACTTGGGCCATCCTCCACTGCACTCCTGGGCCACAGCAGAGAGCTGGCCTGGAAGAGGGGCAACCAGGACAGAATCTGGCGCCCCGACCGGGACTAGAACCCGTGTGCCGGCCCCGCAGGCGGAGGATTAGCCTATTGAACCGCGGTGCTGGCTGACGTGTTTTTCAAAATGTGGTTTCTAACTCTAGGGTTGGGCATCATACCCAAACTCATATTCTACCCAAGTTACCATGATTCATATGGGCAGTATGAAAGGGGGGCACAGAGTATTTTGAAAAATCTCCTGGGGGCTGGCGCTGTGGCTCAGCAGGTTAAAGCTGTGGCCTGCACTGTGGCATCCCATGTGGACACATGTTTGAGTCCTAGCTGCTCCACGTCCGATCCAGCTCCCTGCTAATGCGCCTGGGAGGGTGGTTGGGCTCCTGAACCCATGTGGTAGATGAGGAAGCAGCTCCTGACTCCTGGCTTTTGCCTGGTCCAGCCCCAGCTGTTGTAGCCATTTGGGGAGTAAACCAGTAGATGGAAGACCTCTCTCTGTGTCTCTCCCTCTCACTGTCTGTAACTCTGCCTTCAAATAAATAAATAAATAAATCATAAAAGAAAAAAAAAAAAAACCAAGAAGCTCCTGGCTTCCAAAGTAATTCCATTTACTACCAACTCATTCCTGCTTGCCCAATAACATGACTAATCTGGACCTTTATTTCTAACTATTACCCTGCCCACCTATTAAATCTGTTACCTTAGATTCTCTTCTACCTCTGTCGTTTGAGAGAGGTGTTAGTATACAGCTGTTGGCTGATGCTCACAACGGTCACTTGGGTGGCATCTGAATTTGGGAGTCAGTGTCCTACTTGCATGGTATGATTTAGTCATCCTGTGCCTTCCCACATCCTTTGAGTTGCTCTGGGTCTTCATCTTTCCACCTAGCCCATCTTCTCCAGAATTTTATTTCCTCATATGTGTCAGACCATGTAACTGTAATTTGGTAAAATATAGCTTTAGTAATAATGAACAGTGGGTTTATGGGGACAAATCTAGTTGCTAGCCATCTGAAGTAGTAATCAAATGCCTTTCATAAAATAACTTCACAGAGTTCAGAGAAACAATTGAAATTCAGATGCTGAGTTTTTGTTTTTTTTTAAGATTTTATTTATTTGAGAGGTAGAGTTATAGACAGAAGGAGAGACAGAGAGAGAAGTCTTCCATCTGCTGCTTCACTCCCCAAATGGCTGCAATGGCTGGAATTGGGCCTATCTGAGCTGATCCAAAGCCAGAAGCCAGGAGCTTCTTCGGGGTCTCCCATGTGGGTGCAGGGACAAAAGCACTTGGACCATCTTCTACTGCTTTGCCAGGCTATAAGCAGAGAGCTGGACTGGAAGGGGGGCAGCCAGGACACAAACTGGTACCCTTATAGGATGCTGGCACCACAAGCAGAGGCCTAGCCCACCACTCCACAGCACTAGCTCCCAGATGCTGAGTTTTCAGCTGTTTGTTTTAAACATTGATTGTTGTGGCTGGCACTGTGGCACAGCAAGTTAAGCTGCCATTTTAGCACTAGCATCCCATATGGGCACCAGTTCCAGTGCTGGCTGCTCCATTTTCGATCTAGCTTTATGCTAATGTGCCTGGGAAAGCAGCAGAAGATGGCTCAATTGCTGAGGCCCCTGCACTCACGTGGAAGACCCCAGTGAAGCTCCTGGCTTTGGCCTGGCCTAGCTCTGGCTGCTGCAGCCATTTAGGTAGTGAACCAATGGATGGAAGATCTCTCTCCCTCTCTGCCTTGGTCCCTCCCTCCCTCCCTCTAATTCTGATTTTCAAATAAATATTTTTTAAAAATTTATTTTAAGATTTATTTATTTGAAAAGCAAAGTGAGAACGCTAACTTCCATCCGCTGGTTTACTCCCCAAATGTTTGCAATGGCCAGGGCTAGACCAGGCTAAACCCAGGAGCTTAGAGCTCCAGGTTGTTCATCCATATGGGTAGTAGGGGTCCACGTACTTGGGCCATCTGCTTCTGCTTTCCCAATCACATTAACAGGGAGCTGGATCAGAAGCAGAGCAGCTGGGACTCCATCTGATGCATGATATGGGATACTGCTGTTGCAAGAGGTGGCTTAATGCACTGCATGATAATACTGGCCACTGTTTTATATTAACAATGGCTATGTCTATAAATTTAACAACTGTAAGGTTTTTTTTAAAAAAGATTTTCTTGAAAGGCAGAGAGAGGGGGATACAGAAAAAGATACTCTGTTTGCTGGTTTATTCCTTTAATGACCTGAACAACTGGGCCTGGTCCAGGCTGAAGCCAGGAGCCTGGAGTTTCATTTAGGTCTCCCACATGGGTATCAGGGACCCAAGACTTGAGTCATCCTCTACCACTTCCCCAGGCACATTAGCAGGTAGCTGGATTGGAAGCAAAGCAGCTGGGAATCAAATGGTGCCTGGTATGGGATGTCAGCATTGCAGGCAGCCGGTTTGCCTACTGTACCACAATGCCAGCACCACAGCTGAGAGCCTTTTAAATTGACTCACATCATTTTTGTGCCTTTTTTCTTCAAAAATGGGATTAACAACTTTACATAAACTGAATTTTTACATTAAAGCATTTGATATCAAATTGTAGCCTTGACTAAGATTTGTGAATATTATTTGAACCTATAAATCTGCTAGAATATACTTCGATTTGTTTTAGCCAAAGCTTGGCCTTTTTTGCCAGCCTAAGAACCTTTATGAGTTAATTAATCTTGACTTGCTTTATGTAAATATGATACAAATTGTGGAACATTAAAAATTTTTTTACCCTTAATATTAAAATAAAAGTGAATTACACAGATTTGCTTTAAATTTCCTAATTTACTTTCAGGCAGCCATTAATAACCTTGATAAACATTTTGATATCTTCCCTTACCAACAAAATTTGTACCCCATTTGTGTTAATGGGGTATCATGTATAGACTTTTTTTCATAGAACTCACCTGATGGTGTTAATGGCCTGAGAGTTTTATGGATATCTGTGTATATACAGTGTTTAATACAGTCTAGCACAACGGTGGTTATGCTGTGTTGCAAACAGGAAAGGTGGCAGTAGAGCTGTATAATTCATATTGTCAGAATAACTTACCAAGTATTCAAGTTTTAGATGATACGGAATGTACTAATTGTCTCACTTTTATTTCACAATCACAATAGGACAATACAGGCTCCAACCCAAGTTCCAGTAGTTGTATCTCCTGGGAATCAACAACTGCATACGGTAACACTCCAGACAGTGCCACTCACAACGGTTATTGCCAGCACAGATCCATCAGCAGGTGCTGGATCTCAGAAGTTTATTTTACAAGCCATTCCATCATCACAGCCCATGACAGTACTGAAAGAAAATGTCATGCTACAGTCACAGAAGTCAGGCTCTCCTCCTTCAATTGTGTTTAGCCCTGCCCACGTCCAGCAGGTTCTCACTAGCAATGTTCAGTCCATTTGCAATGGAACCGTCAGTATGGCTTCATCTCCATCCTTCAGTGCTACTACACCTGTAGTGACCTTTTCTCCTCGAAGTTCACAACTGGTTGCTCATCCACCTGGCACTGTAATCACTTCAGTGATAAAAGCTCAAGAAACAAAAACTCTTAATCAAGAAGTAGACAGAAAAGAGGCTGAAGATCATTTGAAAGAAGACACTGAGAAAACTGAACAACAGCCACAGCCTTATGTGATGGTGGTATCCAGTTCCAATGGATTTACCTCTCAGGTAGCTATGAAACAAAATGAACTACTGGAACCCAACTCTTTTTAATGAATATGCCAAAGGAATTATTGGTAGTTGGTTTTTAATTCAACTCATTATCAGCTGTATGCAAACAATCTGATTGATTCTAAGATAAATGCTACAGAGGTTCTTAATTTTGTAACTGTTAAAAAAATTGAGTTAATTTTGACTTTGTTAGATGAGGGAGGAAAACCCAAGTGTTTCTCTTTGTTCTCCGAATGTTTCAGGATTCAGTTGTGAAGGAACAGACATTTTATACTATGAAGACATTCTTTTGAGATTTTTTTTTCAGTTATAAGTATTTTTAAAGTTTCTTTTCTAATTTTACATTGTATTAGGTTTTCTGATTCTTTTGTAAATATAGTGCTTATGTGTAAGGCAAAAGGAAATTTATATAGGAATTATTTTCATTCCACTTAAGTCTTGACTCTTTGAAATGCCAGAAACCTATTTTATGCTTTGTTAAAATTATGATGCCATTTAGATTTTTAGTTAGCTACACTGTATATTGAGCTATGAATACCTAAAATAACATTAAAAATTGAAGTGTGCCCAGGATATGGCTGTGAGCCTGTTTTAAAATCAGGACAGTGTAAATGCATCAGCCTAAGAATGGCTTTCCCACTAACTAGCTGTGCAACACTGGGCAGCCACTTGATTTTTTGAGGCTTTTGATTGTCTCATAAAAGGAAGCACTGGACTAAACCAAATGATCTCCAATTTCCCTTCTAGTTCTAAACTTTATGATTCTAACACCTACTTTTTAAAGTTATGTCCACCAAAACATTATCAGGTTATTTCCTAATATAAATATAACTAAAATATTACAGAAAAATAAGCTGTCCTGCAAAATTCATTCTATTATTATGAGTAAGATCTTCCATAACTTCTTCCTAATTACTTTAACTCTTTAGGCCACTATGCATTGTGGTCCAATAGGAAACATGTTGCTGAGTGCTGAATGACATACTGCTAATTTGAGAGTCAAGGCTTTCTTAAGGGCCAATAAAGCAACTTGAGCCTTGTGCTAAACTGGCTGAGTAGCCAGTTGTTATAAAAGCACAATTGCTTTATATTTTGGATCATTTTTACTGGGGGTGAATGGGGAAGGGAAACTGCATACAAAGGTAACATAGTATATATCCAAGTTTCTGGAATTAAATTTTTTAATTGCTTTTTCAGCTGTAAATAATGTACATTTCATGTCACAGGAAAAATTTTTTCTGCAAATTTTCTAGTATAGCAAAGAAAAATTTTTGTAGATGAAAAATCATTGTTTGTTTAGAGGTCTAATGTTATATGTTTCATATTACAGAGTGAATTTGTATGTAAACAAAAATTTAAATTTTGGAATCCTCTAAACGTTTTTTGTATCCTTAATTGGTTTATTATTAAATAAATCATGTAGAAATTCTTAATATTTTTGTTTTAAAGTAAATGTTTCTTAAGTGTACAGAGACTGTTGCTAGTATTTACAGTGTCACTGTTTATATAACAAAAGCTATTAGACTTGCAGATCGTCATCCTCTCACTTTCTATTTTACTAAGACACATGGGCACTTACTGAACATCACACCATGTATTATTATTTTCTTCATCCATTTTTCTTCTGCTGTAACAGAATACCACAGACTAATTTATAAAGAAAAGAAACTTACTTGCTCATAGTTCTGAAGGCCAGGAAGTTCCATATCCAGACACCAGTAGGTTCTGGAGAGTTTTATAATTTTTACTACAATATGGTGCCTTGAACATCACATTTGACAGTAAAACTGCCATAAGAGTTTAGCAGGGGAAATGAGAATCTTCTCAATAAAAGGCCTGAATCAACTGGACGTCTAAACTGAGGGTTGGGGGTGAGGATGAACCTTTATCCCTAACTCTTACCTTTCAGAAAAATTAATTTGAGATAGATTGTAGTCTTAAATGTGAAATGTAAAACAATAAAGCTTCTAGAAGAAATAGTGTTTTGAACATCAAAAAGTTTTGTAGAAATGGAATTAAAAGATAAGTTTATTTTGGAGCAAAAAGATTTTGAAATCCATGCATCTGAAGGTTCTTTAAACAGTTCATGGAATACTCCTGTGAAAAAACAATGCATGAATTTTTAAAAAAAGTAAATTTTCCACCAAATATGCATATATTTTAAGTTTCATTTTTCCTTGAATATTTTTAAGTACCCTTGTATATTACACAAAAAACATTGATCGTCCATAAAAGACTGATAAGTTGGACATTAAAACATATTAACACAGACAATGACAGGCAACTGGGAGAAGATATCTGCAATAAACATCTGACAACTCTTGTCCATATAAAAAACTACTGTAAGCTGAAAACTAACAACCTGAACAGTTCTCATCTTTTCAGCTTTAGTCTTTTCAGGTATGAGTCCTAGTATCTGCAAAGAACTCTTAGAAGTACTTTTAAACTTATTATATCCAAAGAAAACTCTATGTCCAAATGAAATGCTTCATCTTCCTTCACAAATCTGCTTCTTTTGTAACAGTATCTTTCACCAGTTACCCAAACTATAAACTTGGCTTTTCAAAGAGTTTTTTTTTAAAGATGTATTTATTTTTTTTGCATTATTTCATTTATATATAAACTAAGAATTAAGAAAAGTTATAGCAAAATTAAAGACATTTTTAAAACATTTTAATTCAAACTATACTTTCTACCCACACATGAAAAACTACTAATTAAACCTGTCAAACCACAACCATCTTGCTTTACCTAGATCCAGAGTCATAAAGTACAATCTTTAAGTCTTTACATAGATAAAAAGGGGGGAATCCTTTTTATCTTTGCAACTCTTATCTCAAAGTTGCTCTGAAATGACTTTTATTTTATATTCTTGGGGGAATCAGAGTGGCAACAGAGCTGTAAAACTACAAGGAACACAAAATCATGCCTAAACAGAACTGCATGTACTTTGGAGCATTCATAAAAGTTAACGGTCGTATGCTCAATCGGACTTGCCCCAAATGGTAGAGTTTGAAACATGCTAGGGGATTCCAATACAATCCCATCAAGGTGGCATGTACTAATGCCATCTCACTAGTCCAAGTGACCAGTTTCTGTTCAGAATTGATCATAATGATAGGACTAAGAACCAAAGGGATCACATAAACAAGACTAGTGTCTGCAAATACTAACTGACAGAATAAAAAAGGGAGAGAACGATCCAACATGGGAAGCGAGATACACAGCAGACTCATAGAATGGCAGATGTCCTAAACAGTACTCTGGCCTCAGAATCAGCCCTTAAGGCATTCGGATCCAGCTGAAAAAGATGTATTTATTTATTTATTACAGAGAGGCAGAGAGAGAGATTTTCTATCTGCTGGTTCACTCCCCAAATGGCCACAACAGCTGGAGCTGCGCCAGTGTGGGGCCAGGAAACTATAGAGTTTCTTCTGGGTTTCCCACATGGGTGCAGGGGCCCAAGCACTTGGGCCATCTTCTACTGCTTTCCCAGGCCACAGCAGAGAGGTGGAGAAGCCAGGACTCGAACCAGTGCCCACATGGTATACTGGCACTGCAGGTGGCGGATTTACCCACTCTGCCACAGCACTGGCCCCCAAAGAGCTTTTAAAAGACAGGAAGATGGAAGGAGACAGGGCTCCCACCTGCAGTTCACTCCCCAAATGGCTTTAAGGTCTAACATAGCATCAAAGCTGGGCCAGGAGAACTTAATCCACGTCTCAGTGGGTAGCAGGAACCAAAGCACTCCATGCATCACGGGCTGCCTCCCGGAGTCTGCATTAGTCAGTAGGAATCTGGAGACAGGACCCCGACCCATTATGGAACGCAGATACTCAGCCCATGGGGATTCAGGACTCTTAAGTCAGCATCTCAACTATAGGCCAAAATATCAGGCCCCTGCAATCCTTTCCGTTGACCAGGAAGCCCAGAATTTTACTTCAGATATCCTGTAACGGGACCCTCCTCTCCATCCCTAAAATGTCACCACCTATCTCAGATTTATTTATTCGACCCATGTTTCAAGTTACCTCCCAACAACTTTCCTCTTTAATCTTCCACGATGAGAGTGATAACACCTAAAACATGCAAATCTGGCGGAATTCCCTTTCGTAATTAAAAATCTTAACAACACTCAAGCAGTTGAGTATACCGCAAGCAGCCCTTTATGACCTAGCACTTAACCTACCTCTCCAGCCCTATGGTTGTGTTGTTGTGTGTGTGTGTGTGTGTGTGTTTTTTTTTTTAACGTGAATTTAAGCTCTAGAAACTTGGGAGCTCACTAGGTTTTCAAACACATCCTATTTTCTGTCTGAATTGCCTTTCCACATCGTTCATCAACTAATCGGAGGCACGGCTCGAGTATGACATCTTTCAGGAAGCCATCTCCACATCTCATATTCAGTTAAGTGCTCCCTCTTAGACGCATCAGATTTAGTGTAAGCTCCCTGAGGACATTAACATCTTTAAATCCTGGGGATTGGTGCGAGTTTAGATAGAGCACTGACCTAAAGTTCAGTTCTGTATCTTGACTGACAGAGCCACTCACTTTCAGCCCTTCCTGCTCCTCCTGGACACCCACCCGTCCCGTGGAGCTCGATGGAAACTTCACGAACAGGTCTGCATAAGTCAAAGTGTGGGTTGCGGGGGCTGGGGGTGATGGCGCTGCTGTCTATGGGAGCAAACAGCAGAAGCCACGCAAGTTCAGGTCACTTTCCCTTCAGTGGCTTCTAGGAAAGGTCCCCGCCCACCTCCCGCCCGCCTTGGTCTGGGAAACTCACTAGAAAGCAAGCCTGCGCTGTGGGGCTCTAGGGAATGTACACTGGCAAACTGGCATCAGTGCATCTACCCGGGAACCAGAAGCTTCTCTTCCCTCTAGGCCCTGTAAGGGCTGTACGACTTCCGGCGAGTCCCGGCGCGTTAGCGTCTCATCGCAACGATCGCGGGAATCAAAGCAACATCCGGGACTTTGCTCCCGGAAACGATCGCGCAAGCCTCGAATGACGTTAAGGGTCACTAAAGGCTTGGTTGCCTAAGGCAGCCATTATGAGAGTGTAGCTTACTATGACTTGTTCACGGGCAGCAAAAGCCTCCCTCCCAACTCCAATCGGCACACGTTCCTGAGGGGCAACAGTACGTCATAAAATGGTTTTGAGCTAGTGCTCCTGAAGACTGTTGGAGCGCATGCGCAACGCACGCGATGGACGAGACGGCAGACTGGACAATTGAGGCCTCCGTAGGCAGGGCTGTGAGGGGCGGGACTGTGAGAGCTGGTCACGGGACCGCGGGTCAGGCCCGCAGAATGGGTCCTCCACCTTCCCAGCCAGCCCTGCGCTGCTTGTCGCCTCCCCTCCCCTAGCTGCACGCTGCGTGGCTGCTCGTTGGCTACTTAGGACGGAAGCTCGGTTGGTGTTTCTCCAGAAGTTTCCCCCTTGGGCGGCGGCGGAGCGGTAGCCGCGGTAGCAGCAGCAACGACTATCAGGGATGGCGGCGGCTGCAGGAGGACCTGCAGCAGCCCAGAGGTGCGTGGCGTTTCGTTTTATTTTTTTTTCCTCCCTTTACTATGTATTTAATATCCTTGCCTTGGTTAGTGAGCCCTGCTTAAGTCGTTCTTTTCCTAGCAGGGTTGCCCAGACCTTCCCAGATGCGGTGATCGACGAGGACCCCCAGGCGGCGTTAGAGGTGAGGGATCCCGTTTCTGCCTTCTCCGTTCTCCTGAGGGGAATGGGGGACTGCGTCGGGTTCTGGCTGACCCCGCCTCTTCCTAGTGCTACCTTCCCGGGATCGGGGCTGCTGCTTTTACTGTGTCTCAGCCCCTTGTGTTGGGATCCTTGGTCCCACAGTGGACCCCTCGCATCCCTGTTCTTGCCCTTTGCGCTCCCAGACGCCCCCATTCCCACAGCTTCTTCCGAACACAACCTGTGTTTTACTTCGTGGGAGCAAGAGAAGTGAAATCTGGACTTGGTATTAGTTGATTTAATTTTCTATTTGATACTCATCCTTGCTGTTCTGTACCGGGCCCTATGGTAAGGGTCCGTGAACGGAACAAAAACCTTTAACTCGTGCCCTTGAAACTTTCCAGGTGTCTTATCACTGTTGATTATTCACTCGTTTGTTGATTCATCAAAAAAATTTTTTAGAGTTGGTTGTGTGCAAGGCACGGATTGCTATGGGTTAAAGTCTTACCTTATGTATTTAAGAAAGCACGTTGTGTTTTTGTGCAGTTGGAAGAGGCGTTATATAGCTGAAAAGGGATATGAAAGAGTGGGAGTTAATAAGAGAGAACCTGAGCTGAGGTGCTATGGGTCACAAAATTTAACCGGGACGTTTCTTTTAAGCACAGGAGAGGAAATTGTTACATTGTTACTCTTGAACATAACAATTTGAGGCTAGAGAATCGTTTTCCCAACTGTGACTTTTAAAAGAACTTTGCCGCTAAGTACCAGAGTCTTTCCCCGGAGTTGAAACCTGACCCAGACCTGAAGCATCAAAGGAATGAGCTTGGAAGCTCTAGGGGAAGGAACGTTCTAGGCAGAAAGAAGAGCCTGTGATAGGAATAAGTTGGTCTATTCCAGATTATAGTGGGATGAAACAAGAAGAGGTAAGGTGGGACTGGAAACCAGGGCCAGATCAGGCAATGTTGTGTTTTTTTTTTTTGTTTTGTTTTTTTTTTTTTTTTTTTTTTGCATCCACGATAGTAATAATGTTACTGGAAGCTTGGAGAATTTTTTTTCCCGTAATTTCTTATGTTAGCTTATTTTCTGAATATACATTTGTGATAGTTCTGTTAGGCCCATTGCTTTCTTTACAAATCCAGGCTATATAAAAGTTGCCTTTAAAAGATACTTACAGGCCGGCGCCGCGGCTCACTAGGCTAATCCTCTGCCTTGCGGCGCCGGCACACCGGGTTCTAGTCCCGGTCGGGGTGCCGGATTCTGTCCCGGTTGCTCCTCTTCCAGTCCAGCTCTCTGCTATGGCCTGGGAGTGCAGTGGAGGATGGCCCAAGTGCTTGGGCCCTGCACCCTCATGAGAGACCAGGAAAAGCTCCTGGCTTCGGATTAGTGCCGTGCGCTGTCCGCGGTGGCCATTGGAGGGTGAACCAACGGCAGAGGAAGACCTTTCTCTCTGTCTCTCTCACTGTCCACTCTGCCTGTCAAAAAAAAAAAAAAATAATAATAATTACATAATGAATTCCATTGTCACATTACATCTTTCTTTAGCTTTTAAAGTTTTTGTTGATGTATGATATCTGTAGATAATAGGTCTTAATAACTTGATGAATTTTTACATGTATACACTACCTAGATCAAGAGAGAGAACCTCTCCATCCATAGAGCTCCTTCCCTCACTCTCCAGTTGACTCCTTGTTAGACTTCCATCACCATCAGTTAGTTTTACTTGTTCTTGCATTCATAAACAGAATCCTACAGTAGGTGCTTTGTTGAATGTAGGTCCTTCCCTTTTGATTTGGCCACTGTGTGAATACATATCCATTTTGTGTGAAGCGGTAGTTCTTTTTTCATTGCTGTGTACATAGCATAATTTATCCTAGAAATAAATGTATAGGTCATTTCTAGTTACTAATATGAATTAAGCCACTGTGAATACTCATGTGAGGATACGGATTTTGGTGAATATTAGCATTTCCTTCTCTCGATTGTATATACCTGAGAGTAGAATGGTAGAGGGTAAGATTTATTTATTTTTTTAAAAAATTTATTTTATTTATTTGAAAGAGTTACAGGAGGTAGAGCCAGAAAGAGAGATAGGTCTTCCATCCACTGGTTCACTCCCCAAATGACTGCAATGGCTAGAGCTGAGCTGGTCCAGGAGCCAGGAGCTTCTTCCAGATCTCCCACACTGTTGCAGGGGCCCAAGGACTTGGGTCATCTTCCACTGCTTTCCCAGGCCATAGCAGAGAGCTGGATCAGAAGTGAAGCAGCCAGAACTCAAACCGGTGCCTATATGGGGTGCTTGCGCTGCAGGCAAGGGCTTTAACCCACTGTGCCACCATGCTGGCCCCTAGGGTAAGTTTTAGTAGCTTGCTTCTTTATGTGTGAGTCTTGGACCAGCAGTATCAGCATGTTTTGGAAACTCATTAGAAATATAAATTATTACTTAAAATTTTTACAACTTGTGTAGTCCAGTACTTCCTACTACTCTTTTTATGATGTTTGGAAGAAAACTGAGATCCAGTGTAATTCCAGTAATGTGTCCTAGAGATAATATATTCAGCCACTTAGAACCAGATTAGGAGACTTAGGACACAGATATCCTTTTTGTGCTGTAAACCAGTGGTCCTCAAAAGTATGATTTCTAGGGGCTGCTGCTGTGGTGCACCAGGTTAAAGCCACGGCCTACAGCTCCAGCATCCTATATGGGCACTTGTTCAAGTTCCGGCTGCTCCACTGCTGATCCAGCTCCCTGCTAATGTGCCTGGGAAAGCAGTGGAAGATGGCCCAAGTCCTTGGGGAGCACCCAAGGGCTGCACCCATGTGGGAGACGTAGAAGTGTTCTTGGCTCCTGGCTTTGGCCTGACCCAGTTCCAGTTGTTGTGGCTGTTTGGGGAGTGAACCAGCAGATGGAAGATCTCTGTCTTTCCTTTTTCTTCTGTAACTCTGTATTTCAAATAAATAATCTTAAAAAACCAAAAAAGTATGGTTTCCAGACCAGCTATAGCATCAACTTGTTAGGAGTATAAATTCTTGGAGCTGGCATCCACCACTGCTCTGCTTGCAGTCCAGCTCCATGCTAACACATACCTGGAAAATCAGTGGAAGATGGCCTGAGTCCTTAGGCCTCTGCTGCCATGTCAGAGATGAGTTCTGGGCCCCTGGTTTACTGTGGCTATTTGGGGAATGAACCAGCAGATGGAAGATGTCTATCTGTCTCTCCCTCTGTCTCTGTAATGTTGTCTTTCAAATAAATAGATAAAATTGTTTTTTTTTTTTTTTTTAAATATAAATTTTTAGGTCCCACCACAGACCTGAAATCAAAAACTGTGGAGCTGGAGGATCATGATAAAAACCAGCTGTATTGCGAGAAATGCTCTTTTTTTTTTTTTTTTTTAGGATTTATTTATTTATTCGAACAGCAGAGTTACAGAGGCAGAGAGAGAGAGAGAGAGAGAGAGAGAGATGTCTTCCATTCACTGGTTCACTCCCCAGGTGGCCACAACAGCCAGGGCTGTACTGATCTGAAGCCAGGAGCTTCTTCCTGGTCCCCCATGTGGTGCAGCGGCCCAAGGATCTGGGCCATCTTCTGCTTTCCCAGGCCATAGCAGAGAGCTGGAACTGAAGTGGAGTAGCCGGGACTCGAACTGGTGCCCATATGGGATGCTGGCACTGCAGGTGGCAGCTTTACCCACTATGACTCAGCGCCAGCCCTGGAAATGCTCTTAAATCTTGAGATGAACACCTTGTGAAGATGAACAAATAAATGTAACCTGTCAAATAATTGTTAATCAGTAGGGCGGGAACCTTGATGTTTGAATGTACATTTATTTCCGGCTCAATTTTCCCAAGGGCTACAATTAACAGTAGTCATTTGCAATTCAGATCACTTACCATCATGTGGGTTAAAATATATGTATCTTATATAAGATCATGCAGTCAGAAAAAAAGGAGAATTATATCAGATAAGCTATTTCACATTTTCGTTTATTCTGCAAGCACTGGACATTAGTGGTGAGTGCTCTACTGGGAACTAGGACTCAGTATGAAAAGGCTGCTGTGAGGGAATTTGCAGTCTTAGGCAAGTCAGCAGACATTTACTGTGATGGAGTTATATATAAAGTAAACTAAGACCATAGCAGAATAGAGGTGGAGTAGGGGAGGTAAATTTACAGAGCAGTTTACAATTCAGTGGGGGAGAGAAAACTGGATTTTGAGGCTATTTTTAGGCCCAGTGGTCATGGTGGTTAGGAACCCAGGCTGTGGAGACAGGAACTCTTGGGCCCAGGTCCTGGTTACATGATAAATAACCTCAATAAAGTTGCTATCATCACACTAGATCAGATAACACCAACTGTAAAATACGATCAAACAGAATCTCCCTGAAGGGGTTATTGCTAACATAAGTGAGGTACTGTGTATTACATGCTTAGTACACTGCCTGACACTCTGGAGTCCTTATGTCCCTATAGCCTCTGTATTGTCTTGGAGTCAGTACAAGTTGTTCAGTAGTGTTAGAACATAAAACATGAGGAGGCAAGTGGTAGGAGATAAAGGCTAAACAGTACGGAGAGACCAGGCCATCAAAGTCATTAATTGCAGCAGAGGGTTTTAAGTTGTATCAGGTAGTCATGGAAATCACTGAAGAATGGAGGAAGGAGGGGCTGGCATTGTGGCTTGGCAGGAAAGCTGCCACCTGTAATACTGGCATCCTATAGGGGTGCCTGTTTGTGTCCTAGCTGTTCCACTTCTAATCTAGTTCGCTGCTGATGTCCTGGGGAAAGTAGTGGAAGATGACCCAAGTGTTTGGTCCCCTGCAACCCACAGAGGAACCCATATGAAGATCTTGACTTTGGCCTGGTTCAGGCTTGGCCATTGCAGCTGTCTGGGGATCATCAGTAAACGAGATAGATGAAATCCCTGCAGTCTTGATGCTTACATTCAGGCTTAATTTAGATTTACACAGAAAAACTGTCTTCTCCAAGTGTCATTTCAGCTGAAATGTAAAGAGATAAGCATTTCTAAGTAAAACAGGAGACAAATCAAGAATGAGTACAATTTAGGCAAAAGAAACAGCAAGTCCAGCGGTAGCGGGATTGAGCTCAATACATTCAAGCAGAAAGAAAAACAGTGGGGCTTGACTTTAGAGGGGAAAGAAACAACATGGTTACCTCACCAGACTCTCTCTGTCTTGCAGGCAGAGTTTGGACCTTAAGTGTGATACAGAGTTACAGAATGTTTTCTTTAGGAGAGAAACATAGTCCAAGCTACATTTAAAAAATGTCATTCTGGTTTTTGTATGACAAACACATTATAACAGCAGGATTAGAAACAGACTTCTTAGAAAATGTATGCGGTGAGTTCAGGCAATGGGTGGGACAGGCGACGAAAGGAAGTGTGAGCTGGAGTATATTAGAAACAGAGGGCTTGGCAGTGGGCTGAAAATGGAGGGTAAGAAGCCAGGATGACTGCAGGGATTGGGGCTTGCCTAGATTTGTGTCTGGCACTCAGCAAAGGCCAAATGAAAGTTACTGATGTCTCTCCTTGCAGACTTTTCTCTGCCTTTTCTATATTCTCTACTTTGCCATCATTTTTTTTTTTGCCATAAACTGTAAAAATAGCTACCTCTCTAGTTGCATTCTTCTCAAAGTCACAAATAACCACTTGCTATCACAGCCAGCTGACTCCTGTCTGACTTGATCTTGCTGTGGCTCCTGAATAGTAACGAGACCTTTCAGTATACCATTCTGTCAGCCTCTTAAAAACTAACGTTTCCCTAGAACCCAGTACTTAGGATTTATTCCCTTGTAGCATCATTCTTCACCCCTCTAAGTATCCAGGATTTCACAACATATTAAGGTACACCATTGTATCAAATCTGTGCTGAACTTAGGCAGTGGTCTTGAACAACTACCACATGTAACTAGTTTTCTGTAGACATCACGTGCAATGTGCCAGGGACACGTACTCAAAATGTAAAACCATCACCTCTGGGGCAGGCAGAACCTAGCAGTTAAATCACTCATTGGGACGTCTTTGTCCCTTACCTGAGCACTTAAGTTCAAGGCACAGCTGTGGCTTCTGACTGCAGCCTCCTGCAGAGTAGTGGTGAAGGCTCAAGTTGCTGGGTTCCTGCCTCCCTTTTGGGACATCTGGGTTAGAGTGCCTGGCCCAGACCCTGCTCAGTTGTTGCAGCCTTGAGGGAGTGAGCATGAGGATGAGAGCTCGCTCAAATAAAAATTTAAAACTTAACAAAGCCAACTTCTCTCCTGAAGCCTGCTTCTTATCCTGAACACAATCATTTATTAGTGAATGATACCAACTTCTATATTCTCCAAGCCAAGACCACAGGAAATATACCTTAGTCCAGTGAATTTTATGTCATTTCCCCTCAATGCCCTCAGCTAGTTCCCTAGATTTTTTTTTTTTTTAAGATTTATTTATGTATTTGAAAGTCAGAGTTACACAGAGAGGACAGACAGAGAGAAGAGGTCTTCCATCTGATGGTTCACTCCCGAATTGGCCGCAGTGGCCTGAGCTGATCCGGAGCCAGGAGCCAGGAGCTTCCTCCAGGTCTCCCACGCGGGTGCAGGGGCCCAAGGACTTGGGCCATCTTCTACTGCTTTCCCAGGCCATAGCAGAGAGCTGGATTGGAAGTGGAGCAGCCAGGGCTCAAACAGGTGCCCATATGGGATGCCGGTGCTTCAGGCCAGGGCATTAACCCACTGCACCACAGCGCTGGCCCCCCAGATTTCAACATTCACCTTTCACTTGGTATATCCTCCAGTTATCCACTATTTCTTGTGTCTCCTCCAATTCATACCTACTATGCTTTTACAGTTTTTATAATTTAGATCATCTTATTTCCTTCCTCCAAATCCTTTTTTATCCCACCCCTCACCCAAAAGAAAAGATTTATTTATTTATTTGAAAGGCAGAGTTACAGAGAGGGTGAGACAGAGGGAGAGAGGTCTTTCATCCTCTGATTCACTCCCAACATGGCTGCAATAGCCAGAGGTGGGCCAGACTGAAGCCAGGAGCTTCTTCTGGGTCTCCTATGTGGGTATAGGGGCCCAAGCACTTAAGCCATGCTTTGCTGCTTTCCCAGGCACGTTAGCGGGGAGCTGGGTCAGAAGTGGAGCAGCAGAGGCTTGAGCTCATATTGGATCCTGCACTGCCGGCCTCAACTCTACCTTCTGTACCACAGTGCCGACCCTGGGATAGTGTGATACTAATGACAGTGGTTTTGGGAATTCTACTGAGATTGGTAAATGTGTAATGGTATTAGTTATACATGGTTATTTGGGGTAGGTTTGTTTGTTTTCTTCCAGCAGTGCTAGATAGTTAATGGAAGAAGAGTTGATAGTCTGGCTGGCACCGCAGCTCACAAGGCTAATCCTCCGCCTTGCGGTGCCGGCACACCGGGTTCTGGTCCTGGTTGGGGCGCCGGTTCTGTCCCAGTTGCCCCTCTTCCAGGCCAGCTCTCTGCTGTGGCCAGGGAGTGCAGTGGAGGATGGCCCAAGTGCTTGGGCCCTGCACCCCATGGGAGACCAGGATAAGTACCTGGCTCCTGCCATCAGATAGGCACGGTGCACCGGCTGCAGCGCGCCAGCCGTGGCGGCCATTGGAGGGTGAACCAGCGGCAAAGGAAGACCTTTCTCTCTCTCTCTCTCACTGTCCACTCTGTCTGTCAAAAAAATAAAAAATAGATAAAAAAAAAATAAAAAAAAATAAAATCTACTTCGGAGTCAGACAGACCTGGATTTAAATCCTCTCTGGTACAGTCTTGTCATTAACCAGGAAGCATGTAAGTGAATGCTCTATGCAGAGCTAGGGGGAGAGCATTCTCTTCAGAGCGAGTAGCAGATGCAGAGTGTTGGAGTGTTGGAGGAACTGTGCAGACACGAGAACATGTGTGGCTAGAATGGAGGAGCAAAGGGGAGAGGAATAAGAAATCAGGACAGAGAGTAGAGAGGATTATGTAGAGAGGCCATGTTCAAAGGAGTTGGGCTTTTGCTCCAAGTCAGCAGGAAAGGTATTGGAGAGTTGTGCAAAGACAAAGAAACCAGGTCTGATGAACATTGCTGCTTGGATCAGGGCAGTGGGTTAATGTGGTGACAAGTCATTGGGATTTTAGGTATATTTTGGTTCCCTGATATACATTGCTTTGTGAGACTCACTACTGGCTTACATGTGGGGCTATTGAAATACTGTAACCTAAGAAAACCAACCAAATCCCTAAGGAGTATAGGCAGAGTTAAAGTGTTCTTTTGGTCTGCACTTTTTGGTCACACTAATTGTGTGAATTCTTGCATCATTATTGTTCTAGCAGCTACTTATGTAGGATGACTTCCCAGGCCAGTGAAAATTTTAATCTCTCTGGTGTTAACTCGTCTATTGATAATAGATATGAAATTGTATCTGGGCTTTGAACAGGATGTTGTAGTCTGTTGGGGTTGTTTGCCACTGACAGAAAATAGAGGAGGGGGCCACCTCTGTGGCATAGTGGGTGAAATAGCCACCTGCAGTGCTGGCATCCCTTCAAGTTTTGACTGCTCTTCTTCCGATCCAGATCTCTGCTACAGCCTGGGAAAGCAGTAGAGGATAGTCCAAGTTCTTGGGCCCCTGCACCCACATGGGAGACCTGGAGGAGGCTCCTGGCTCCTGGCTTTAGATAGTCTCAGCTCCAGCTGTGCAGCCATTTGGAGAGTGACCCATTGGATGGAAGACCTCTCTCTCTCTCTCTCTCTCTCTGCCTCTTCCTCTCTCTAATTCTGCCTTTCAAATAAATAAATAAATCTTAAAAAAAGAAAACATAGGAGGCCCAGGTAAGCTTGATCGCGTATTTATTGAGCTTGAGATTTAACTACCAGTTATTTTTTATTGGATAGCTTCACATTTTCCAAGCTTAAATCCTACATGATCTTTGAGTCTTCTCCAAATAAGGAGAAAATTTGTGTGGGTCAATATATGTCAACTAAACTTTTCAGAGTAGATGAGATAGTGATTATCATTTATTGAGTTCTTATTGTGGGCTAGGAATTGCTGAGTGCTTGGCATAGGTGTTACATTAGGTAGTATGCTTTTGGATGGGCGGAGGAGAAAGGAAGATAGCAATCTTAAAAGGAAAAGCTCTGGGGGCCGGCACCGTGGCACAGTAGGTTAATCCTCATCCTACAGCACCAGCATCCCATATGGGCACCGGTTCGAGCCCTGGCTGCTCCACTTCCAATCTGGCTTTCTGCTATGGCCTGGGAAAGCAGTAAAAAATGGCCCAAGTTCTTGGGCCCCTGCACCCGCGTGGGAGACCTGGAGGAAGCTCCTGGCTCCTGGCTTCAGATTGGCATAGTTGCGGCCATTTGGGAAGTGAACCAATGGAAAGACCTTTCTCTCTCTCTCCCTCTCATTGTCTGTAACTCTATCTCTCAAATAAATAAATAAAATCTTAAAAAAAAAAAAAAAGGATAAGTTCTGAACTTGTTTCCCTGTTATCTTTCCTCCAAATAACTTACAATAAGTTCTTTGATTAAAAATCTTACTTTAATTGGAATTCAGTGGCTTTTTAAAAAACGTGTACTGATACTCAACATGTTTGTATTTGTAGGAGCTGACGAAGGCTTTGGAACAGAAACCAGATGATGCACAGTATTACTGTCAAAGAGCTTATTGTTATATTCTTCTTGGGAATTACTGTGGTAACTTCTTAGAGTATTTTTATAAGTTACTTACAAATGCTGTATGGTGCAAAATGAATCAAGTAAAATAGATACTATCTTTGAGGATAATTTTCTTTCCAACAACGTGATGTAGTTGAAGTATCACAGACATTATGTCAAATAATGCTCATTTAAATTTTGTGGATATCTTCCTTCAGAGTGAATAATTGATAGGTTTTATAGTTAACTGAATACACTAATAAAGAGCATCACATTTAGTATTTCACAGAATATTTGTTGTATGCATTTGTTATTTAAGAATACATTTCTCTATTGTGTAACTTAAAAATTATTCTAATTGAGAAGTAGATGGGAAAAATCCAATGAAAATAAACTCCTAATGAAAATGGGAGATTAGCATGGTGACACAGAGCTTTTACTCATTGACCGAAGAGTTGTAAGAATGAACTCTTGGCCGGCGCCGTGGCTCATTTGGTTAATCCTCCACCTGCGGCGCCGGTACCCCGGGTTCTAGTCCCGGTTGCTCCTCTTCCAGTCCAGCTCTCTGCTGTGGCCCGGGAAGGCAGTGGAGGATGGCCCAGGTGCTTGGGCCCTGCACCTGCATGGGAGACAAGGAGGAAGCACCTGGCTCCTGGCTTCGGATCGGCGTAGCTCCGACCGTAGCGGCCATTTTTGGGGTGAACCAATGGAAGGAAGACCTTTCTCTCTGTATCTCTCTCTCACTGTCTAACTCTGCCTGTCCCCCAAAAAAGAACTCTTAAAATACCAGGCCAAAAGGGGAGGTATGAGGATAGTATTTATTTGAATTACATATGGATTTGCATTTCCTAATTTAAAACATTTAGCCTTTCACCAGCCTGAAAACTTAAAAAACCTAAGATGGATTCAAATTTTGTATTAGTGTTTGTTAGGGTCTGTAAATAAATGGCTTAAAAACCCATCTTTTTATATACAGATGCTGTTGCTGATGCAAAGAAATCGCTGAAACTCAATCCAAATAATTCCACTGCTCTGCTGAGAAAAGGGTATGTGATAACTACTCCTTTGTTTGCCTTAGACTAGATAGTAAGTGTTTAATTTGTTGAATGAATTAGTTGTAAGCTCTGTATCAATAGTAAAATTATATACATTTCATAGCTGAGACATTCAATTTTAAATATAGCTTACAGTTCTGTTACATTACCTGCAGTATGTGACAGAAGATGTATAATGTGTTTTAAAAGAGTGATGAATAAACTACAAGGTATAGATGGATCTGATTTCACATCTCTTTCTTATCTTTTGGAATTTACTATATTTATTTGACTAGAGGGCATCCTGTTTCACAACTAAGCTTAATGGACTATAGTTAACACTATGAAAGCTCTGAATTTGTATTACCTGTATCTGGTAAACCCAATTTGTTTCTTTTGATAAGTGTGACTTGATTCTCTAAGAAAGAAACTCTTTTGGCCGGCACCGCGGCTCATAGGCTAATCCTCTGCCTTGCGGCGCCGGCACACCGGGTTCTAGTCCCAGTCGGGGTGCCGGATTCTGTCCCGGTTGCGCCTCTTCCAGGCCAGCTCTCTGCTGTGGCCCGGGAGTGCAGTGGAGGATGGCCCAAGTGCTTGGGCCCTGCACCCCATGGGAGACCAGGAGAAGTACCTGGCTCCTGCCTTTGGATCAGCGTGGTGCGCTGGCCGCAGCGCGCCGGCCGCGGCGGCCATTGGAGGGTGAACCAACGGCAAAGGAAGACCTTTCTTTCTGTCTCTCTCACTGTCCACTCTGCCTGTCCAAAAGAAAAAAAAAAACTCTTTTGATTCCTTTGTCTAATTATGTTTTAGAATGAGTAAGTATATGCAATTAAACACCTTCTGAAATAAATTCCAGATGTGAATATTGGTGGGAATTGTACTGGGTATTACAGTATTATAGAGGATATCTTGGCTCATTAGCATATATTTAAAATAAATTATTTCAGCAGTACAGAAAACCAAGATTTATTCTTAAAGAGGGCCATTTTCCATGATCTTGTGTGTTAATTTGTTTTTCACACACTGATGCAGGATATGTGAATACCATGAGAAAAACTATGCTGCTGCTCTGGAAGCGTTTACAGAAGGACAGAAGTTAGATAGTAAGTATACACTTCGACTTGAACTTCAGTCATTCTTCATCCTAAATGCCATACTGTAATTGTGAGTTAATTGTAGAAACTCAGCACCTATTTTTTCCTCTTAGTGACATTTCATGTTGATTGCAGAATTTGAATTCACTTACATTGATTAAATTGGCCTTTAGCATTTAAATCACAGACAGACTTTACCATTAGAAGCCTAAAGCTATATAAAAACCTAATGTACTCTCCCTTCTTAGTCTGGCTTTATTTTTTTCTAATGGAGAAATGAAAATTTAATTGGCTTCTTTGTTCAGAAGTTTGTTCATCTTAAAAGTTAGACTGTGGAAATGGAAATCTTACAGCAGTCTTTTATAGAGAAGTAAACATGTAAGTTTGGTCATATTATGAATACAAAAGAAATAAGGGGCTGGTGCTGTGGCACAGCGGGTAAAGCCGCCACCTGCAGTGCCGGCATCCCATATGGGCACCGGTTGAGTCCCAGCTGCTTCACTTCCGATCCAGTTCTCTGCTATGGCCTGGGAAAGCAGTAGAAGATGGCCCAAGTCCTTGGGCCCTTGTGCCCGCGTGGGGTACCCAGAAGAAGCTGCTGGCTCAGATTGGCGCAGCTCTGGCTGTTGTGGTCATTTGGGGAGTGAACCATCGGATGGAAGACCTCTCTCTCTCCTTCTCCTTTCCTTCTCTCTCTATGTAACTCTGTCACATAAATCAATAAATCTTTTTTTTTTTTTTTAAATGCAGATAGGAACATGAGGGGTCTTCAAAAAGTTCATGGAAAATACATACTACAAAAAATGTGAATGTATTTCAGTGTTTTTCTTGTAGCAAAATAAACTCAGATTTCTTTTTTTTTTCTTAAAGATTTTTTATTTTTATTTATTTGAAAGACAGAGTTACAGAGAGAGGTAGAGACAGAGAGAGAGGTCTTCCATCCGCTGGTTCACTCCCCAGATGGCGGCAACGGCCGGAGCTGCGCCAATCCAAAGCCAGGAGCCAGGCGCTTCCTCCGGGTCTCCCACATGGGTACAGGGGCTGGAGGACTTGGACCATCTTCTACTGATATCCCAGGGCATAGCAGAGAGCTGGATCGGAAGAGGAGCAGCCAGGAATAGAACTGGCACTCATATGGGATCCTGGCACTTCAGGCCAGGGCTTTAACGTGCTGCACGACAGTGCCAGCCCCTCAGATTTATTTCTATGTATCAAAGACACCATTTGCTGGTTCACTTCCCAAATTCATATAATAGTCAAGGCTGGGCCAGGCTGAAGCTAGGAGCTGAGAATTCAGTGGGTGACAAGGACCCAACCACTTGAGCCATCATCTCCTGCCTCTCAGGGTGCACAGGAAGCTGGAATGAGGAGTGGAGCCAGGAGTCACATCCAGGCACTCTGATACGGGATGCAGGCATCTCAAGCAGCAACTTAACTGCTACATCAAGTGCTCAGCCTATATAAACACTTTTTTCCAGATGAATAAATTAATGTATTTGAAATACAGAATTATACACACACACATCTGCTGGTTCACTCTCTAGATAGCTGCAATGGCCAGGGCTGGGCCAGCTGAAGCCAGGAGCCTGGAACTCTATCTGGGTCTCCCACATGGGCGGCAGAGGCCTAGCTATGTGGGTCATCTTCTGCTGCTTTCCCAGGCACATTTATGGGGAGCTAGATTGGAAGTGGGAACAGTGGGTTGTAACATAGACTGCAGCTTAACTCTCCGTGCCACAACACCAGCCCCAAACTTGTCTTTCTGTTCCTTTTTTTTTTTTTTTAAAGCTTTATTTATTTGAGAGGTAGAGTTAGAGAGACGGAAACATTTTCCATCCACTGCTTCATTCCCCAAATGGCCACAGCGGCTGGAGTTGGGCTAATCTGAAGCCAAGAGCCTCTTCTGGGTCTCCCACATGGCTGCAGGGGCCCAAGCACTTGGACCACCATCTATTGCTTTCCCAGGCCACGGCAGAGAGCTGGAACAGAAGAGGAGCAGCTGGAACTGGAACTGGCATCCATTGGGGATGCTGGCGCTGCAGGCAATGCTTAGCCTACTATGCCACAGCACCAGCCCCTCTGTTCCGTTTTTGCAAAAACTTTCAAATACCTTTCTATGTAACTATCTTAATAGTCTCTTGTCCTGTAACTTTATAGATGTGACAAGAGTTTATAAAGTGTGAAGATGCTTCTTGGTGTTTGTAGGAAAGACGTGGCAACAAGGAAAGCTACTGAGAATAGTAAACTGAGTAGGTAGCTGCACTGAATGGCAAGTTGGGACCAGGAGAGACTCTTGGACCTCTACCCAGCTGCCATTTTTGAGGACTCCAGCTCACCCTAAATAATGGCATATTGGGTAACTGATTCTGGTCTCTTGAATATGAGAGAAAAACTCCTTTAAGAGTGGGAGGGTGGGAGGAAATGATTATTTGTATCTGAGAAATGTTGACTGCAGTTTTTTTTGATGAATAACTAAAAAACCTCTGGTAGATTTAAAGCTATAACAGTATGGTATGATAACCATTGTTAGGATGTGTATTTCTGTTTTGTTGAGTGCTGAATCCTCGGTGCCTGGAATAGCATCTTGGGACATAGTAGACTTCAGTAAGTGTTTGTTGATTGAATATGTTAGATTATACAGATGAGTAGTGTTATAGTCAGATCTATCTTTCTAGGTGCAGATGCTAATTTCATGGTCTGGATTAAAAGGTGTCAAGAAGCTCAGAATGGTAAGTATGTTTTGTAAGTTTTCCATGGTATTTCAGTGGAAAAAGAAGTGAACATTTGAAGCTTTTTGGTTCAGACAAACTTGTTTTTAACTGTAATTTTAATAGCCCATGTACACTTGGATACATATGTATATATACAGTTTGTTTTATTGCTTAGTTTCATAAGTGGGAAGGGAGAGTTGAAAGAATTTATTTTGTAATAGTATCATGGTATTACTAATAAGAAATTACTAGTAATGTAAAATGATACCAGAATTCACTGTAAAGCCAGCTTGCTTTCTGTGAGTTGTTTAATGAGTACGTCTATGGCATAGAAATTATGTGTGTGTCTTTGCCTATAAATTCATTGTCTGAAAATGTTTGCTTTTTCTGTTTTAATAGGTTCAGAATCTGAAGTGGTAAGTCTAAAGTTTTTCATGTTTTTACTTAATTATTTGAAATTCCAAATATATTTGAGACAAGACTCAGAATGAGCTATTTCTAGGTTCAGTGTTAATCAATTCCACTTAAACATTACATTCTTTAGTAACTGAAATAAAGTTTTGGTGAAATACAGATGTTTATAATCATGAAAATAATTGGGTTGTTTTGATTAAATTAGTCTGTAGTTGATTTGGTGTGTTTTAGTTTTGTTAGGGTGATTATTGTCCTTTCATTACTAAAAAGTCATCACATTTCTTAGAATAAACAGTTGAAATTATTTATAAGGCTTTTTATGGTAGACTAAGACAACAAAGGATAAGTAAAATTGAAAATATTTGTATCTGGTTTAGTGTTAGATTGTTGTTTTTACTTTCAGTCTTTTCAGTTACCAGAAATACTGGAGTTGAGAAATTGTGATGTTATTTTTTAATGAATTTAAGCTTTTAACAGTAAATTTTGGCTAATAGTATATAAACAGCTTTTAGCACCAATGAACATTCGTGTTATGGTGAAGCCATGAGTGGGGAAAGATACTAGGAAGCCACCACAGAAATACTACTTTACAGGTTTCAGAACAGTGTTTGATGTCATTGTTAAGCCCGAAAACTAAGCTCCTCTGAAAGTCTTTTATTTTAGAAGTGTTTTTAAATTAAAGCTAATAAAATTTTAAAAATACAGAACATGCTAATTTTTTGTGTAAAGACTAGTATTGCTTAACAATTATGGGTACCATGCTTTATCTTTGAAGAAAGTCTTTATGAAGTTATTCCATAAAAAAATAACTATTTAGCTAGGTAAATTAATGGTACATTTTAAATATAAAATTGCTAAACTAACTTGGAAAAAATCTTTCTTTTTCACCTTGTCAAAATCAGTCTGCATCCCAGCGGACTCAGTCAAAAATCAAGTAAGTGTTTCATAAAATGATGTATTTAAATATTTATAAAGGGGGAAAAACTGTAGTTAATGGTAAATAAGTCCTTACCATATGACTTCAAGTGTGTCTTAGTTGTAAAATTGTGTTACAGCCTTATGAAAAACTAATTTTAAGGCTGTTTTCTGATTGTATTATTGTTTATACTTAGTTAAAGTTGTGTCATCTGACTCCATATTACATTACCATTCCATATATTAAGAATCTCTTGGCTTTGACTATGACCTTGTCTAAACAAGATAAGAGTCGGAGAACTCAAGGGGCTTCCATAGCCTTGGAAACTCATGACTGGTGCATAGGGAGATTACTGATGCCATAAACAGGAGTGTCAATTTGTAAAGTCAACAACAGGAGTCACTGTGCACTTACTCCTCATGTAGGATCTCTGTCCTTAATGTGCTGTACATTGAGGCTTAATGCTATAACGAGTACTCAAACAGTATATTTCACTTTGTGTTTCTATGGGGGTGCAAACTGTTGAAATCTTTACTTAATGTATACTAAACTGATCTTCTGTTAAAAAAAAAAAAAGAAGAAATTAGCAATTCCCAACTTGACTCTCACTGGGATTAAACATGACAATAGGTCTGATCTGATTTCATCATCATTTAAAAGATCATCTATTATTTAAGCCGTACTTTGGAAATTTATATTCATTAAATAAAAGTTTAAAAAAAAAAAGAATCTCTTGGAATTAGATTGATGGTATTAAATACAGATAATTAAATTTGTAGTAGGCTTAATAGAATACTAACTTGTCCTGCCTTTTATATTTGGGTAAATTTTTCATAGGAACATTCTGCATGAGTTGAAAGTTAATATTGCCAGGGGCAACAGTTACAATAATGAATAAGCAACTAGTGAGTCTTGGACTCTATTTATTAGCCACGTGTACAACTTGTATTCTTAGAACTGTATCAGAAAGAAACACAAAGCATTGATCTGGAGCTTTGCATCCTAACTGAATTTTAGAGGCAAACTGTGAGACTCCTAAAATTCATTTCTTTAATCAAGTTGCTTTTTGACATAATTACCTAAACTTGCTTAGAAATGTTAACAGTTCATTTATGTTCTTTCTGGAGAGGTACCAGATGAAACTCCCAAGTTCCTAGTAGACAAGGAATTTTGGCAGCAGCAAGTATAGGGTACATAAAATCAACTAATAATTACAGTGTTTGAAGCATAAAATAATCTAATATTTGATTTAACAAATACCGGTATGAGGGCACTATGCTTGATCCTAGGAATATTGTAGTGACAAAATAAATAGCTCTACCCTCAGGGAGCTTATTTCCTACATTTTTAGAGCTTTCAGTGTTAATTGCACACAGTTGAAATCTTTAGACACACTGATCTTCCTGGGTACCTTGAGATTAAAGAAAGGTATTGTATGTAATGTGCCTGGTGCAATAATTTACACCTTATTTTAAATTTTAGTTCTCTTGCTTCTGTTCCCTATGCTCAGGGCTATTTGCTGCCAGCTTCTGTTAAGAGAGCTTGGAGTGTTGACTCAAATTCACTGGGTCCATTGTACCTCAGTTGGCTTACTGCTTCACTTTCTGAGCTTAGGTTTTTGCATCTGTAAAATAGGGATAGAGTTGCTTACTTCATGTTAGTGTTAGGTTGATGTGAGTGTAAAACTCTTATTGGTGGTGCCTAATAAAACTGTTAGATATAAGCCAGAATCCAGAAAATCATGTAAGTATTTAATTCCACTGGTAAGGTTTGGGCAGCTTCTAGCTTACTATTTTTTTCCATTAGTGTGGATAATAGACAATTTGTTTAAATTGTTTTTGTGAATGAATAGCTGCTTTGGGCATCATTTACTTTACTGTTTTCCTTCTATTAGTATAGAACAGATAATAGAAAATTAGTTAACATCAAATTGTTTTCTGTGAATCAGCAGCTGTTTTGCCATTTTGTTCCTCAAGGTGGAGCTCTTGTTGTTTATCAGATTAGTTTATTTTGATAAACAACTTGGAAAATTAGAAGTGCTGTTTTAAGTTTCTTTTTCTTTTTTTTTTTTTAAATAGGTATGACTGGTATCAAACAGAATCTCAAGTAATCATTACACTTATGATCAAGAATGTTCAGAAGAATGATGTAAATGTGGAATTTTCAGAAAAAGAGGTCATTAGTTTTTGAATCATTTTTTATATTGAGATTAAATACTGTTGTTTGGAATATTGCAGAATAACCTATAGTACTTTATCAAATATATGCCATTTCTTCCTGAGATAATGTAGAAATTGAATAAAATCTGAAGTATTGCTTTTAAGCTTGAATCATTTAAAGTTTTGGGATTAGATTATATTGTAGGTTAAGGCTAGATGTTCATTTTTTTTTCTATAGATTCAGAATTCAAAACAGAACTTGGTTGACATAGTAAGATATATGATTTGGTTACACTTATGTGGTATACTCTCATGTAAAGTTTTAAAATAATCTGTGATACTAAATTTCTGTGATTTATTGAGTTCATTTTAACCTTCATTAAATTTATAAAATATGATAATTTTGTGTTCATTAGTTGTCTGCTGTAGTGAAACTTCCTTCTGGAGAGGATTACAATTTAAAATTGAGACTTCTTCATCCTATAATTCCAGAACAGAGTACCTTTAAAGTACTTTCAACAAAGGTAAGGCAATTGAAAAGGATTGTCACTGGTAATGTTTTTAAAATAAAAGTACTGCGGTGAACTAATTGCCCATGAGATTATAAATTTGTATATCCTTTTAGTCACTTATCTCTAAAAGGGACAGAAAAGAGTGATAATTTTTGATTACCAGGGTTTTTACTCCCCAGATTTTAGTACAGTGGAATATAAAAGACAAGATGGGGCAGGCATTGTGGTGTAGTGGGTTAAGCTGCTACGTGGGATGCTGATTTGAGTACTGGTTAGTTCCTTTCCAGTCCTCTGCCCTGATAATGCATCCTGGGAGGCGGACAGTGATACTGGGAAACCCATTTGAGTTCCAGGCTCCTGGCATCATCCTGGCCCAGCCCTGGCTGTTGTAGGACATTTAAAGAGTGAACTACCAGACAGAAGATCAATCTCAATCTCTCCCTTTCTCTCTTCTCTCTCTCTGTCTCTGTCTCTTTCTCAGGGTTGCTGTGCCTATTAAGTAGATGAAAAATAAGTAAACAAACAAACAAAAAAAGCTCATACAGCAGTTGGTGTGTGTGAGCGATACATATTAATACGTTTCAATGAAGAAGTGTTTCTAAAGATAATAACGAGTTCAGTGCCTCTTTTGAACCTATCAGTTTGGTCTGTTGTACAGATACTCTTCTCCTCCAACCTCAATTTAAAATAGAAACTGTAGATTTGCTTCTTTATTTATATCTTTTTTAAAGATTGTACTTATTTATTTGAGAAGCAGAGTTACAGAGAGAGATTTTCTATCCACTGGTTCACTCCCCAAATGGCTGCAACGGCTGGAGCTGGGCTGATCCAAAGCCAGGAGCTTCCTCTGGGTTTCCCACATGGATGCAGGGGCCCAAGCACTTGGTCCATCCTCCACTGCTTTCCCAGACCATAACCAGAGAGCTGGATCACCTGAGGAGCACCTGAGACAAGAACTGGCATATGGGATGCCGGTATCACAGGCTGAGAGTTAGCCTACTATGCTACAGCGCCAGCCCCTAGTTTTATTGTTTAGTTTAAAGACTTAGAGGAAGAGATCAGAGAGGTATTCTGTCAGCTGGTTCACTTCCCCAAATGGCCGCAATGGCTGGAGCTGGGCCAGTTGAAGCCAGGAGCTTCTTCTGGGTCTCCCACATGGGTGCAGGGACCCAAGGACTTGGGCCGTCTGCTGCTTCCCCAGGCCTTTAGCAGAGAGCTGGAATGGAAGTGATGCAGCCAGCACATGAACTGGTGCCTGAATAGTATATTGACGCCACAGGAGGAGGCTTAACCAATTAAGTCACAGCACCAGCCCCAGTTAAGCTAAATTTTAAATTTTACTTTATTCTGAGTGAATAATGAGAATTTAAATTACAGTTTGAGTTTCCAATTTTTAGATTCCTTTAGATTAAAAAAATATGTATACAAGTAGTATTTAGGGAAAATTTTAAATATCAATAAAGATCTTAGTAGTAAATTTAGTAGGAAAAATATTGACTGAAACAAAAGATCTGACTCTAATTCTGTACACTATGAATTTGCTTTTATCACAAAATGATTACAGGAGTGAATTTTTATCATCTGTAAAATGAGGAATATGGAATAAATGAAGCTCTGAGATCCTTTCAGGTGTGGTATTGTATGAAGGTTCATGATAGATAAGTTAATGGGAATGAATGATGTAGGTGAACTTTTTCTATTACTATGCCTTTTTTTATATACAAGTCTTGCAATGTACTGTTATTAACTATTATATTCTAAGGATATGTGACTTATCATGAAATAGGATCAGGTTTTCTTTTCCTGTCCCATTACCCACCTCCCAGTTTCATGTAGAAGGGTTAAGTGGGCTGGCAAAGAGAAAAGGACAGTTGCATGGGCTTGGCACAGGAAGCGCAAAGTTAAGAAGTGTAATTAAATGTAATTAAAATGGAGTTGCCCTTTTAAAAATGTATTTGAAGATAAATAAAATAAATAAAAGATGGCTCATTATGAGGAAGACACGGGGAAACAACAGCTTGGGACAATAGCAGTTGAGAAAAGATGTGAAATCTTACCAGGATCTGAGTCTGTCATAGGCCCTATCCAAACAGTATAAAATTTGTTTGATAAAAGAATTTTGAGGGGCCGGTGTTGTGATGCAGCAAGTTAAAACCCCAGCCTGCAGCACCAGCAACTCATATGGGCTTCTCCACTTCCAGTCCAGCTCCCTGCTAATGCACCTAGGAAGGCAGCGGAGGATGGCCCAAATCCTTGGGCTCCTGCATCCATGTTGGAGACCTGGAAGAAGCTCCTGGCTTTTTATCTGCCCAGCTCTGGCCACTGCAGCCATCTGGGGAGTGAACCAGCAGATGGGAGACCTCGCTCTCTCTCTGTCTCTGCCTCTCTCAGTAACTCTGTCTTTCAAATAAATAAATCTTTTAAAAAAAGAAAAAAGAATTTTGAGTAATCAAGCACAAAGCTCTAGGTAGATTGAGAGGGAGATGGATCAGAAAATGGATTTTCTTATTTTTGTGTACATTTCTTATTAAGACATTGTTAATGTATGTCCCCTTCAGTTTATTAATGTAAATAGATAAATGACCTGAAAACTTCTATTTCAGATTTTTTAAAAAGTTCATTTGTATTTCAAATAGTGAATAAGTTTTAATATAAATACCTATATTTCATGCTGTATTTTTATTTGCTAAATTTGGCAACTTTTGCTGTGTATTGCACGTGGGAGGTGCTCAATATTTGTTTAGTGAAAGAATTTAAATTGGGTCCTGATATTAATTCTATGAAGTAGACAGTAAGCTATTTTTACTAGTTTTACAGGTAGAAAAGAGCTGAGTTCTTGGATTTCCCCAAGATCATATTGTTAGTAAAATTTTATGAACATGCATACTAAATGAATTTTCATTTCTGATTGCCAGCCAAAACTAGTGCTTCTTTGTCTAGGTTTTTCTAAAGGTGTATTCTAAAGGATGATTATTTTTCTTGTCATGACTCTGGAATCTCCCTATTTTGTATCTGTATATTTCTGTCTATACATACATACACACATATATATATTTTTATTTTTGATCAACTACTAATCTTCAAACTATTTTATGGGAAACAAATTAAAAAATTATTTTAATAATTTAATTAAAAGAATTACAGAGAGGGAGATTGAGATACTGATCCTTATCTTCCATCTGCTGGTTCACTCCCCAAATGGCTTCAGTGGCCAGGATAGGACCAGGCCAGAGCCAGAGCCAGGAGCCTCCAGCCTCCTCCAGGCCAGGTCTCCCACATGGGTGGCAAGGGCCCAAGCACCTGGACTATTCTCCACTGTTTTCCCAGGGCATTATTAGCAGGGAGCTTGACCAGAATGGAAGTAGTCAGCACCTGAACCAACACCCACTACACTGCAATGCAGGTCCCAGAATTTTTCTTAATTGTAACTTAAGGAAACTAAATGATGAAACCTTTGAATCCTTTCCTTTTTTATACAGCAGAGGGAGACAAAATAGCAAAATATCTGAGTTACTGAGGCTTATTTAACTATGGCATTAAGAGGGAAATAATTTGCTTTTAATATATTCAGATGTCTTGAATGTGTTTCACATATCCATGTCTTGAATCTGAGTGGATTTAGAGAAGGATGTATTTTGCTTAGGAGATTTACTTAAAATTAGAGTTTCCATAAAATCTATTTAGAGGGCTGTTTCTTTACTTTTTAAAAATATTTATTTATTTATTTACATATTTGAAAGATAGTGTGCCAGTGGCGGTAGGGCGAGATCTTCCAAATGCCTGTAATACCTGAAGTGGGCCAGGCTGAAGCCAGGAGCCAGGAACTCTGTTGTAGTCTCCCATGTGGTTGGCAGGGTTCCAAATACTTGGGTCATCCTCTTCTGCCTCCCAGGTACATTACCAGGAAACTGGATCTGAAGCCGAGGCAGGACTTGACGCCAGGCACTTCAGTATGGTGTATGGGCATCCTGAGTGGTGCCATAATTGACTGTACCGCAACACCTGTCCATTTCTTTGCTTTTCAGAGTCCTAGTTTCTTTTCTACCTTCAAGATTAAATGAATATCACGTATTACTATATAGCCGTTAGTTGAGTAGTATTAATTTGAGTGAAACATAATTTGCCCTAAAAATATGAAAATGTGTGACCCTTAAATTAATGAAAATAGCATCTCTTAACTAAATATTCCATAATATAGTATGTTCTTCCAAGTCAAAATTCTTGCTTTTAAATAACTGATAGCTGCTTCTACCTTTTATTGAATACCAAGTTTTTGTTTCAGCCTGATCACCCTTTTTTTTTTTTTAAAGATTGATTGATTTGAAAGGCAGAGTTGAACACATATGGAGGGAGAGACAGATCTGCCATCCTTTGAATCTTCCTTTTACTCTCCTAATGGCTACAGCAGCTGGAGCTGGGCTGAGCTGAAGCTAGGGGCCAGGAATTTTTGCTTGTCTCACACATGGGTGCAGAGGCTCAATCACTTGGACCATCCTCCTCTGCCTTCATAGGCACGTTAGCAGAGAGCTGAATCAGAAGTGGTTCAGGCTGGAGCCGCGGCTCACTAGGCTAATCCTCCGCCTTGCGGCACACCGGGTTCTAGTCCCGGTCGGGGCGCTGGATTCTGTCCCGGTTGCCCCTCTTCCAGGCCAGCTCTCTGCTGTGGCCCGGGAGTGCAGTGGAGGATGGCCCAAGTCCCTGGGCCCTGCACCCCATGGGAGACCAGGATAAGCACCTGGCTCCTGCCTTGGGATCAGCGCGGTGCCCGCCGGCCGCAGCATGCCAGCCGCGGCAGCCATTGGAGGGTGAACCAACGGCAAAGGAAGACCTTTCTCACTGTCCACTCTGCCTGTCCAAAAAAAAAAAAAAAAAAAAAAGTGGTTCAGCCAGACCATGAACCCTTGCCCATATAGGATGCTAGTATCCTAGGCAGCACTTTCACCTGCTATGTCATGACACTGGCCCCAATTATTTTTTTTAAACTAAGAAACACTGCTTTTGTTTCATCTTCA